TATATATATATATATATATATCAAGAAATATTCTCAGTCCACTGTCTTTGTTCTGGTTTCTCTCCTGGGTACTGGAGTCAGGGGGCCAATGTGCTTTCTGCTCCAAGGCTCTGCCTTTGGTTGTATTGCAGAGTTTGCTGAGGAATTCCTCGCAATTATGGGTCTGGTTTGAATCCTTTGAATAAATTGATTGAAATTTTTGCAGAAAAAAACATACAGTTTCCAGAAAACATTGTTTCTTACAGCAAAACTTTCACCCTACACAAATGCTGTCTCGTGCCTTTTGAGTAGTTAGAACAGCAGTACCTCGGCATATTTAAGAGATCTTAATACAGCTTCTGTCTGTGACAGTGATCCTCAGTCAGGGTGCCCTGGGATGCTGCAGGATCCTCTGATGGGTGCCACGAAGTGAGGAGATAACAATGCAGGCTCAGGCTCATCCCCCTCCTGGCCGCTCTGTAAGGAGGTAAGCTTTATAAGAAATAGTTCTTAGCTCAATTCACAAGAGTTACGGAGGGTGCGTCGAATCTAAAAAGGTTGAGAACCACTGATCCAGCTTACGCATGTTCTCTTGTTCCTGGAGGATCCCTGCTCTTGAGACCTGCTTGGAAAGAATTTCGATTTCTTCGTGCTGAAAGCTTCTATCCTGTTACCTTAGGCGCAGTTATAAAGCTCAAAAGGAGCCTGTAGTTTTACGAAGGGAATTTTCAGAAGTGTTTCAGCACTGCCTGAACTCTGCTCCCAATAAAGCTGGTGTTAAAATTGAGTTGGGCCAATGTCTGGATAAAGTGACCCTGGTATTTTTCCTTTTAAATATCCATTTTCCTCCCCACACTGCACTTCACTGTGTACACTGATTTGACCTCTTCTGTATGCAACCAGGTCACCTGCTAATACTACTGTTAGTACTTCTCATACAAATATTATGCATTGCAACAATAGGCATTATGGAAATAACCATTAGCGCTGAAGAATCTCGCTCTGCTTTACAAATTAGTTTGTAATTACAAATTATAAACAGGAATCTCACTTTGCTCTACAAATTAGTCTCCACTAATTAAATGCATCAGCCCGGGTAGCATAGTCCCGACACAGGTTTGAATAGACTCTAGAAGCCATGGGTTAGCCTCTCTTACACTAACCCCTGTCCTCTAATACTCCATGAGAAGAGCTGCTAATTTTAAAGTCACTTCAGTCATGAGGATGCATCTGGTGCAGAGGATTGAGTGCTAGATAAGGACTCGACATCTGGATTCTCTTCCAGTGACCTGCTGGTCAGCAATTTCCACCCCTCCCCTCTTTGGCCTCAGTTTCCCCAACTCTGTAAACTGGAATGATGATACCCTTGTGGTAGAATACTTTGCAGCCTGTGGATGACGTGTGTTATATAAAAGCTAAGTATTATGTAACAAATGCTAACAACTTCAGATCAAGCAAGGATGACTTGGGCTGAAAGTGAATACAAGTTCCATGGAGCGTGATACAATTTAGCCACCCAGCTCCCATAAAGTGGCCAGGTCCCCTCTATGTCCTGTAATTAAAGTGTGGCCTGTTCAGCTTTACCTATGCAGCCATGTCTGAGCATCTGAAATCCACTGTGTAATCCAGATTATGCTCTGGCTAGCATCCCCATACTCTGGCCCCCTGTCCAGGCTAGGTGACATTCTTCAGTCTGGTATCTAATAAGCAGCTCTTAAGGCTGCCATGCTGAGACACACAGTACTATCCCAGTTCAGCAACAAAACTGGCTACAACAATTCAAAGGGTGTGATCAGGGAGGGAGGCAAATTGTATATGGAACTGGAAAAAGCTAAGTGGGTGTGAAGCAATGAAAGGAATAACCTTTCTGGAACACCAGTGCTCCCTGACAGCAAGATCTATTCTGCAGAATAGTGTCCCAGATAGAGTGCATCTGCATGAGGCATGTTAATGCACATTAGCTTATTTTAATGTGCATTATGGGCACATGTTTATATGTGCATGCCCTTAATGTGCATTAAAAATGGTGAAATTTAAGCACATCTAAATTTAATACCTGCAACTGCAGGTATCAAATTTGGGCGTACTTAAATGTCACTGTTTTCAATGCACATTAAGGGTGTGCACAGGTATCAAATTTAGGCATGATTAGTTAAGGCACATTAACACCCATGTAGTTGCAACCTGGTGCACAACAGGGCAAAAGGGACTTGGCACTAACTTTGGTGCCAAGTCTCTGCATGTGTAGACAGCTGCTAAAAATTGCTTAATACGCATTAGCTTAATGTGCATTAAACTTAGTCATGCTTAAATACGCATGTAGATGCACCCCCAGAACTCTATTGCCTCGTGGCAGAAACCGTTTTGTGTCTCAATGGGATCAGAGCAGCTTGTTTGAATCATCATGGTGCGTTAAGAAACCAACCCCAGGTTCTTCTGGAGAAATTAGTGTCCAGAGTGATGATATGCTGAAAACTACTAATAGAGTTTGAGCCTGGTCAGTAAAGACCAGGTTAGCTCCCTGTATTGCAGAGCATTTGAAAATCTACCATCTTATATTGTGTTCAATTAGATGGTCATGCATTGTGTAAGCAGGAAATGTATTTTTTGCTTTAAAAGTAAAGCCGAACAATATTACATAGGTTGTTGAGCTGAGAGTTTTTTTAAGTGGGGTGGGGAAATTTGTTTAAAGGGAGGAGAAACTAATTTTCACTCAACACTTGGAATTTGCATCTTCCCAAATGAAAGTTGTAAAAAACATGTCAGAAGCCATGGTCAAAGTGCCTGCATCCTCCATGATGTAAACATTGGAACGGGTTTGAATAACCTTGGATAGCAACAGGCTTGCAAGACCAGATTCCATGCTTTTGTAGATGTAATGCTTGACCCTAGTAACACAAATGAAATAACAGAAACCCATTACTATAAAGAATAGCACTCATCACCAAGAGTGGAAACAAACTGATAAAACTTCCGAATTCTTCACATGACTTTGGTGGGGTGTGGCCGGGGGAGTGGGGGCAGGGTCTTCGTGATCAATTCCTTTCATTCCAAGTAGCTTGTCAATCAATGCATATCATTACTGATCATATATCTACGATTATAAATAGGGACCTACCTAACTCAGAGTGAGAGAAAGCAATTTTCATGGCTTGCTTGCAGCCTGAAGAGCTGATTTTGTGGTCATTTCATGGCGGCCCTATTCCTTGGTGCTGACTGGCAGAAAGGCTCTGCCCCTCGGTGCTGATTGGTGGAGAGCCCCTGGAGGGGGTGGCCACCATCTTGACTGCTGGCTGCCCTTTGTGTGGCCCCACCCATCAATGCTGATTGGTGGAGAGGTGCAAGAGGGTAGTCACCATCTTAGCTGCTGCCCTTCATGCTGCCGGGCCAGTGGGTGCTTTCTCCTCCTGGGTGGGTTGCAGCGGCAATGAGGACCACTGGAGAGAAAGCATTTTATTTTTATTAAGTTGGGGTTTTTTGGTTGATTTCCTGAGAAATCGCAGCCAATTCCATTTTTCACAAAGATCACTGTTTTTCGCAACCATGATTTAAGTAGGTCCTTAATTATAAATCTGGAGGAAGATGGGAATAATGGACCCAAGTTGTTGGGGGAACTGAACAACTAGCAAGAGCTTGGAGATCCTCCAGGCATGAGCTTGTTTTTGCATTTCCATTGCCTGATCTGCCTTGCTAGTGAAACGCGTGTTCAGCTCTCCATTGAAGAGATTCTCCTAAAAAGAGACATGCACTGTCTTATTCCAGGGCCCCATCTGACAAAGTCAGGTCCCTTTCTCCCAATTTGGGGATAAAGACTTTCCCTTCAAAAGTGGGGCGAGATGGGGGGGAAAATTCCTTTTACAGTCCACTGTTTCCCCCGCTCCCTTCTTTTGAGAACAGTCATTTCAAAGCTGAAAACTTGACATAAACTTTTGATGCTGAAATTCAATCAGAGAAAAGCTCATTCCTTTCCCAAGCCTCCTGAATAAAGAGTCTTCTGATGTTTTCATTAAAATCTCTTACTGTATTTCCAATAAGATGTGCATACATTGTGTTTCTTATTGAAATGTTAGGTCAGATCTTCCAGCTCTTTCTCCCTGCTGGGGAGCTGATGATCCTTCCTTCCACCTTTCAGCCGGCATTTAAGTATCTCTTTCTCCCAGTGCCGGATCAAAACCTATTGAAATTAGAAGGAATCTCCTCGGAGACTTTAGGCTGTGAACCAGACCCACAACGAGGAGGGTTTGGCTCAGTGGCTCATTTCAAGGCCCAAGTCCTGTGAATGTTTCCTTGTGCACTTCACCGTACACATATAAGTAGTCCATGGAGGTCAAGGGACCTAGGCACACGCTTGAAGTGAATAATGTATGGAAGTGTGTCTGTAAACCCGAAGCCCTCTCGCTCTCCGTGCTTTGCTCCTGTAACCCCGGTCACCTTCTTTGCCTTTTATTGACCCCCAGCCCTGCAAAGACTTACAGCTGTGCTTCATGTTCATGCACACTAATGCTTGTACTTAAGGATCAGGGCCTTAAGTACAGGCATTTAGGTGAATCACTTACGTAGCTGCAATCCCTAGTTCAGTGAGGTTTTGAACTGCTTGGCTTCTAGGCACTGCTGCAATAGAAGTACCAACTAGGAACAGTCATAATTGCCAGCATTTGAATCGCCCGTAAATTTAATTGTAAAAGCAGGTCGATTCCAGCCTTTGCAGAGAGGGTGGGAGGAACTGGTGGAGAAATAAAATCCTCTGGAGAAGACTGTGAACAAACTTGTTTTCTTAAAATAGTGTATTTATTTATTTATTTATTGTCCTCCTTGCAAAAGCAGAATAAAGTCGATGTACAAAAACTAAAACGAGACTTTGATGGAAAATTAACTTCATTGAAATTTCAAGGGCACTGACTTTGTTTGGTGCTTTAAGCCGTATGCTGTTTAATGCTAATTCTGTAACACTATATAGAAGCTTTTTTTTACTAACACAAAAGAGGAAGGGGCACATTTCTTTTGTAGGGTTTTTTTTTTTTTTTCAGTGAAAAGTGATTCTGATCAGAACAGCCACAAACCCAGCTCCAAGTAGCTGACATTTCCATCTGAATCTACCTGAAGGGTTAGTTTTTCAGGAAGAAAGACTTCGCCACTTGTACAGTCCAGGATCTGATCTTTAGATTAACTCACCATTAATCAATAGAGGAAAAAGTTTTAATTGCAACTCAACACTCTTCTGGCCCTAAAGCAACATAGAGAAAAACTGAATTTTCAATTGAAACAGCAACGGGATTTAGACATCAGCGATAATTGTCAAAGAAGCATTGAAATGCCTTCTTCATTGACATAATTTTCCCCTCCGGTTTACCAAAGTTTGGTTTAAAATATCAGACTTAATTTCTTCCCTTCTCTTCAAGCCAGGTTGGTAATTTTTATGTATATTTTTATTAAAAACTGCATTTATTGAATGTAGTAAGTTAATTATTGTTTCCTTTATTTTTCTGGTGTGTTTCCCGAAAGGTACACCCTGTAGGTTTTAATGCTATATTGCTATATTTTCTGCTACTCATTGCATGCATGCTCTTAGTTAATCCACGGTGACTAAGATTTATGATCTTTATAAAATTGTCTCACGATTCTGTCTTCTTTTCTACATTAAGGAATATAGTTGAACTTTTTCATAGTGAAATTACTTTTTGTCTCCCCAGAACAACTTAGCTGTAAGCGGATTTCTTTTCAGTATAATTTCAAATGACATACCGAGAAGAGCTGAAACAGTGTGGGACTTTCATTTGATCTCACTATAAATGGTGCTTCTCAATTTCTATAGTGGCTATAATTGGATTCAAGTGTAAATTATATGTAGATGTATAGAGAGACACAACATGTCTAGTTATGCTCATAAGTTATGTATAGTACATCTGTATATGCTTGGAGAGAGATCTATTTGCCTCCACTGCTATGTTAGATAAATGATCTACATAAAGATGTAGTACATATAGATATTAAAGTCCATAACGCTGGAATAGAGATTGCTTAGCTATATAATGCATGTCAGTATCTGTAATCTAGAAGTATAAATTGATATTAAATCTAGATAAATAGATAAAATCTATATATAACTTACCCTTGAATCTGATTATATATTTTACTGGGTGTAGCTTTATAGATATAGATATAGATATAGATATAGATATAGATATATAGATATAGATATCTCTCTCTCTCTCCCCTTCTTCTTCTGTTTAATGAGTGGAAAGGATAGGTAATGAAACCAAAGCAGCTACTTTAGAGATTTCCGATTTGATTAATAATTTACAACAAATTATATTAGGCATGAAAAGAATTAAAGTCCTGCCTGAGAATTTCTCTTTAATTTGTCCGGATTCATTTCTCTCCCTTCTTCCATAATCGATTTCGGTATCACGAAGAAGCTGCCCAGCTGTGTAAATGTTTGTGCTTCCTTCCCACCCGTCAAAAATGTGAAGTGCTCCTTGTGTTTCTACCCGGCACAAAGGATTAGTTAAATCAACATTTGAAGTCTTGTAACTATGAAAGTACACCGTAATTTATAATTAGCTCGCCTTTTGGTACGATGAAAAGCTATTCATCTTGAAGCCAGGCAGAAGTATCCTCAAATTAAGCAGATCAGGAAGGAATTGTTTGGGGTTATTAGAAGAACTGACTACAGACTGGGAGCCAGGTTATATCAGAAAGTCCCAATGTATGTGTTAAATTAGAGCCTCCGCTGCTTTCCAAAATCAGGTTGAACCCTTACCTCGACAATCACTGAGGGGAGTTGTCTTTTTTCACTAGGCTGGTCTTATGATGCCACCTGATTAGCACCACGCTGGTGATCTTCATGGGTGAAGACCTACATTTCCTGAATTTCTGCAGTGTGGAGGGATCACAGTTGCAGCGAACTATTACAATAGGCATTATCTTGGGATTTGCGTAGCAGACTTGGTTTTCTATTGACGGCTGTTTTTTTCCCCCTCCTTTAGGATGAGTTTTCCATTATTGCTTAGAACCTGGGTGGTCCTTATGATCATCATTTCACGACACCAAGGTTAGTATTTCTGCCTTTCAACTCTTGAGTACAGATATTTTACGTTTAGCATGGGAAGGTATTCTCCTCAGAAGTTTTCTCTACATTGACCATATAGATTTAATAGATTTTTAGGGTCGGAAGGGACCTCGGTAGATCACAGAGTCCACGAGCCTTGCAAAAGTCTACTCAGGTGTTTCATTAGGAGCAACTGAAACAGCACATTTTAGTTTTTAATCATAATGATGGTGTGCCTTTCCTGGTGAATGTATATGCAGCAGCTTCATACAGGTGACCTAATACACAGGCTGTGATAGATCCTAAAGCTGTAGAGATTGTCAAGACACCTCTGGACCCCACTAACCAAGGAGAAGGTGCTCTTTCAAATGTGAAGTCAAGATAGTCAGCATGCTAAGAGAAAATAAGAGGTTCTGGGCTCGACATGCAATATGCTTCCATGGAAAAAAGTCTTGGGCTGATACCACCGCTGCTTTAGAAATTGTTCCTGCTGTTTGGATAGTTTAACAGCCAGACAAACCTATGTGGAATAGCAAACAAGTGGATAGAAAGAGCCTGCAAGAATGTTAGATATCAGCAGGCTGTGTTTTCATGAGGGTGTTTGGAAACCTGGCTGGTTGGTGGAGTCATCGAGAGTCCAGCTGTAGCTGTATCCCCGTGTTTATTCCTTGAGCTATAATATTTACGAAGGGCAAACAAAACTTCCACCCATAGGTTTAGTTTTGCTTGTGTGTTTGTATTGAAATCACAGGAAACCCTTCGTAGATTTAGTTATTAAATTTAAGCTTGACGTCAAGAGGGGCTGGAACAGTCAACAGTGGGTTGAAAATGGGTAATTTGTTTTTTATTCCCTGTCTCAACCTCCTCTTATTGTCTGGTTGATCAAGGTATTTTGGTCACCCGGCCTGGTCTTGTGTTTAGGACATGAGTCTGAGAGTCAGGACACGCTGTGGTCAGCCACTCTTTCATCGCGTGACGGGCACAACTCACCTGTGCACCGTGCCTGTCCATTTTCCCCTCCCACCCTCTCCCCAAGTCCCACCCCCTTTCCAGTAAAATGAGGCCAAACCTTTCCCGTGGCATGGGGCAATGGGATGAAACTCATTTGTTGGCAAAGCCTGTTGAGCTAATTGGATGGGAAACGCTGCCCATGCAAAGCTACATCCCAGTACAAGTTCTTAAAAGGTTGTGCTGAGTTTCGCTCTTTTAAAATAATCTATATTTCATATCTGCGATCTCAGATGTAATAGCCTGCTGGTTACATAAAAAAATCCATGAAATGACTTATTTCATTACCTGGCAACAGGATCGTTGCTACAGCCCTTGTCTGCAAGGGTAGTCTTGTCATCATGACTCTGTCGTGCACCGCTTAAAACTGTCCAGCATGGAAAATGCTCCACAGATACATATACAATTTTAAAAAGCTCATTTTCTGAATTTCAGTCCTGATCGTTTTCCCCCTCAAGGAACGCTTTATCAGCTGAACTTTTTTAGAAGGGCCAGCTTCCCATTGTCCTTATTAAAGCAGAATCTAGCAAAAAGGCATCTTAAATGTTACCATGATAGAACAACTTCCACCCCAGGGAATAAGAAGAAAACCTTTTGCATCTCTAAAACCAAGGCTCTGAGCAAACACCCTTCAGCTAGAGGCCTCTGAAATGGCAGGTTAGGACCTAGGAGATAAAAGAATGTCCTGAATCAAGTTAAACAGAGACCGAATTGTTTAGAGTCCAGTTGCTAAGGTCAGCATTGATTGAAAATAATGAGGACAGCGCATTTCTTTTCCACCACAGAAAAAGCCTGTTCCTTCTTTGAGGAGGAGGCGCATTAGTAGGCAACCTGTATAAATGGAGAATTAGATTGTGGCGCATGTCTGGTTATGGGTATATAATAACTGTTTCTATATCTGGCAATTAGAGATGGCTAGAAAATGGGATTTTTATTGATAGGAAATTTCAGCTGCTTATCAAAATCACCCCCCACCCCCAATCTTTGACCAAAAATTGAACTTCTATCAAAAATAATTGGGGAAAGGCTGCTTTCTGCTAAAAGTTTCTTATATTAGAAACTCCAACTCCAACTGGTGTGTCGGAGCAGACTTCCAGGAAGTAGCATGTTGGGCTTTAACAGCTACGTGGGGCTGGGCTTGGGTGCTGTGTGGATGGGAGAAGTCCACGGGAAAGGCAGAGAGTGCCAGGAACAGATGCACTCATCCATTGAATGCATTTGCCCTCCCCCTCTCCCTGTGAGGTAGAGCAGTTCACTGGCTCCATTTTACAGATGGCAAACTGAGGCACAGGGAACAAAATGAGGTCATCAAGCGTAGTTCTCCTCAGTAGTTCAAATGTAGTTCTCCTTGGCCTCTTGTGGGATAAGATCAAATGTTGCCCAGACTGAGATGGATTTGAATGGCATTGTGTAGTGGAGGGTACACCCCTGTCCAATGCGCTGTGGACAGGACATCCTACGAGCGTCTTGTGATTAGCTTCCCAGTGGGAGGATCTCAGCTGCACGCCGACTTTATGGAAAAGGGGGCCTTCTCCCTAACTTGCTCGTGTTGGCTAAGGGCAAATGAGACTCAGGGTCAACTGAAACCCAAGCCCTCTAGGCTTGGGCCTATACATAGGATGCCCACCAATGGATCTGGGAGTATCTGAAGCCCCAGGCTGAAAAGGCTGGGGTGGAGGATACTTGCTAGTTGTAGCACCACATATGATGCCTACCTGGCTGGAGTCATTTGAGCCCGGTTTTTCTCCTGGCCAGGCAGGGGGTCGGACTTGAAGATCTACAAGGTCCCTTCTGACCCGACTTCTGTGATTCTATATGGCATTTGAATCATTGAGGGTTGCTCAGTCGAGAGGATTCAGAACTGATTTGGCTAATTTGACCTGAAATACTAATTTTTTTCCAAAAAACCAGAACAAAACAGAGGAGCAGAAAAGTGAACGGTGGGTGGTCTTTTGCCTCTGACTAGTGCCAAGCATCCTCCCTCATTGTTCTCCTCCCTGAGTCAGGGCTGAGCTCTAATGCCTCAGTTATGGCATTTGAAGGCATTGCACTGGGGGCCATGTCAGCTCTTGGGGAGGCAGTAAATAGAGATTGCTTGCTGCATGAAGCGTGCATTATACAATGGCAAATTGCAGTTTGGGTAGCTGCCTTCTACCAACACAAACTTCCTCCTATGGCTTTAGTGGCATAGACCAGTGTTCACTTCCTCTCCCAAACTTTTGCATCAGGTTGGGGTCTGTTTCTCACCAGCCACTGTCCTCTCTCTGAAAGGCAGCTGCATTTTAGTGGCATGGGGAAGTAATTGTTCCATATAAAGTATATTTTTAAAAAAAAATACGACGGGGGGGAGATGCTATGGGCCTGATTCTGCACCCATAGAAGTCAAAGGGAGCAGGTCCTCATATCATTGTAATAACTGTGCTGCCTTCTTCCAGCTCAGGCTATGGAGGTCCTGTATCCGTTCTGGCAGAACGACACTAAAACCCCCAAAGTTGATGACGGAAGCTCCCCAGAGATTAAGCTGTCCGTCCCGTTCATCTTCTTCGGCGTTCCATACAAGACCGTTTATGTAAGTGGGGCAGCACCTCTGGCTGATCTCGCCTTCCTTTCCTCATCATTAGTGGCTGCATTTAAACACACGCTCTCTGTGTTCAAGAAATGGAAGATTTATTAGTGCCTACCTGACAAGTTCTTAGATTTCATGAACTGATAGGTTTTATGATTAAGAAAGTTGAAGATATATTTAATGGGCTAATGTTCATGGGGAAGGAATATAAAAGGCAATAAATTGCCTTTGCAGGTGATTAAGCGCCATAGCAATGCTGAGGCCCTGACACCGCAAACATTATTTCTGTTACATGACAAGAAACAAGAGCAGGTAGCGAGCCACAGGATAAAAAGGTCACATCCCTCCTGCTTCATGGGTGCCTGAGACAGTTCTGGGCTGTCGCTGCTTCTTGGGGGGTTTTGTTGCCATTGTCTTTTGAAGTTTGGCATAGGAAAACCATCCTTTTCAGGCTGAGGAAAGAAATTATTAACCTCGTTACATAAAATAGCATGTCGGAGACAGAACCGAATTAGCAAGGTTGGATCCCAGATTCAAAGATTTTATATCCAGGTTGTGTAATACATCCTGCTCGGGCCATGGGCGAGATTTGAACCTGTGACCTCTGTGGGCCAGCTGCTAGAAGGGAATTAAAAGACCTGTTCCTAGTGTGCATTATATATGTATAGAGAGAAAATAAGGAAATGCAACATGAGGGCCTTTGATTACTAATCTCTGCTTTTGCTCGGAGTGCCCTCTCCATATTCCTACTTGTACCAGAGCAACTTGCCCCAGCGTTTGTGCCTGGCATAAAGGCAGCAAAGGCTTTGGATCCATCTAGGTCAAGAGCCTGACTGGCATTGTCCATTTGGCTGGTCTGAGTCTAGAACGCAAGGACTGGCTGTGTTGGCTCTTGGGAACCAGTTGCCAAAGACTTGGACACATCCAGAGACCTTGGTGCCAGTTATGTGAGGTACCAAACTGCTGTGGTAAGTGGCGCTCCTACAGAGTAAATTTGCTGAGGCCCATCCTAACAAACTCCATGGTTGCTTGAATAATGTTCCTAGTGGGAGCTATGTGAGTTTGCACCATCCTGGTATCATCATCGTAGGCTTCCTAACCCTCAGCATCATTTTTCTCACAGCAGAGGCCTCACATACTAGGATGATGATGGCCACATCAATACTTAGGGACTCCACTTCCACCAAAGACTCCTCCTTCAACCCAAGTATAATTGCAAACTGACAGACCCGTGCCTGCTGCAAAGAATATAGTTTGCTTGACTAAAAACGCTTCTCTTTTTTTGTAGGTCAACAACAATGGAGTTATTTCCTTCAACGTGCTGGTCAGCCAGTTCACCCCAGAGGCCTTCCCCCTTGCAGATGGCCGGGCTTTTCTTGCCCCTTTTTGGGCAGATGTCCACAATGGGATCCGAGGAGAAATATACTACAGGGAGAGCACTGACCCTGACCTGCTGAAGAGGGTCTCCAAAGACATCAGGAAATACTTCAAAAACATGCCCTCTTTCTCTGCCACCAGCATCTTCATGGCCACCTGGGAAGAGGTCACTTTCTATGGAGGCAGCAGCACCACCCCTGTAAGAGCTTTGCTTCAGTCCTGATCCTAGGTTTTATTTTGATCTACTTATTTTTCCTGTGGCAAAAATTAGCTAAAGTATCGTGAGCTGAGAAGTCTGTTCCTGGCTCTGTCACTGTTTGATGCTGGGCGGGTCATTTATTCTCAGTACTCTATCTGTAAAATGGGGCTATTCCTCCTTCCTTTCTCCCACGTTTTGTCTATCCAAACTGCACTGGAAATCCTTCAGGGTAAGAATGGCCTCTGAATACAGGTCTGTATGCTGCCCAGCCCCATGGGGCCATGACACGGGCTGGAGGCGGTAGGTGCTGCTGTGCTAGAAATCATTATTAATAGATGAGAGGCCTGGATGAGAACTGAATTCTTCCCTTGCTCAGGTTGCTTCACCTCTCTGGTCTTCAGCTTCTCCATTAGAAAATGGAGCCAGCAATTCTCTACTTCATAAGTGATTCAAAGCTATGATTTGGGTACCATTTGTGAAGTGCGATGTGTTTCCCAGATGACAGCAGTCTGTGGCAGGACTTGTTACTTACTTTTTCTTTAAATATGCGGAGGAGAAATGTATCCCCTTTGAGGTAATGTGAATCTCTCTGAGGTGCCAAACTTCTAATTTCCAGTCATTTACATTTTTAAAATTGATTTAGTATAAGGAAAAGTGGTTTTTCCCCCCATTGTAGAGCAGTCTAGGTGCTTTTATAAGGGCAAGAATTGCTGCTAACAGCCAAACAAAGCAAGGATGAGCACTCTGCAGCATGGGGAATTGGTGTGTGTGTGTAAATGTCATTTATAGAAACCTCACAGTGCTAGGCATTGTCTAAAAAAGAGGCAAAGGTCTACCTGAGCTTAGAAGCCCACTTTCGTAGCCAGCAGCACACGGGGAGGTGACATAGTTAGCTTCCTACCTATCTCAGCACTGAACAGGCATTTAATTAAAGATAATAAATCCTGTTCCAAAGACCTTGCCTAATTTGGGACCCATATCTGTGGATCTCTGTACTGACCGCAGCTGGGCCTCTCTGGAGACCCTAGGCTCTTTGCACAGTGTCGGGATTCAGTGTTGGAAAGTTTTTGGAAGAAGGCTGATTTCTTGCTGCACAGCACCCAGTACCATAGGACCTGGAGAACAAGGTGACTACTAAGTGTGAGAAGCTGGTGGGGGAAAGAAGAGGGGTAGAGAAGGCTAAACCGGCTGAAAACTTGATCTTTTCCCTTAAATGTCTCTTTGCTCCATCTTCTGCCTTGTATTTTCCCTTTCACCAGTGCCATCTCCTCCCCCACCCAAAGTTTGCACTGAGCTAAGCAGAAGCCCAATAACTTTGCTGTTCAACTCCATCTTCCAAGGCCCCAGTGCTTTTGACATTAGGCCGTGCAAGATCTCTTCTTGCTAATGCTCACGTGCTCCTAAAATGGGGGGTCCTGACTTAGGAAAACTCCAGAAAGCCACTATAACTTAATCTTTAGCTAAACTCCATTCAAAAAAGAAAGAAAGAAAGAAAGGAAGGAAGGAAGAAACTTGCTGCCGATGAGAAAATGGGGAATTTATTTAGCTGTTTGTTTGGCACAGGTGGCCTTCTCATTTTTATGGCTCTTTATGGGGGCCAGGGTTGAAATTATATCCAGGCAATGCTAATCTGAGCAGGTAAGGAGGATATTTCAGGAATAAGAGCTGAAGAGCTGCTCTGAAATCCCAGATGGATATTTAAATAAAACGGGGAAATCAAAGAGATTTACCGGCAGCATTCTTGCAATGACAATTGACCCCTCAGGCAGGAAAAAGATGGATTGCAGTAGGCTATAAAGTCCTACTGATCACTTGGCGGGACTGTGCCTTCTCTGGACATGTCGTGGTCACCTCCTAGCTGCATCTAGGGTCCCCAGTGAGAATCAAGTCCTACCTACTTGCCCCTGCTCTGCACACACTCATGCACAGCAATTAGACAGAACGGGGAGCTTAGAGGAGTCCAAAGTGCATGCCCTGGTGCTGCTGCTAGGCTCTCCTGTGGCTTTGGGGTATGTAGTTAGGACCCCTCTAAGTCACCTGCTTTACCTAGCAGCCGGGCATGGGCATGCATGGAGTTGGTGGAACTTGATTCTCGGGGCACTCTCCCCCTCAGCAGCGTGATGGTATAGGCATGCCTTACAATTCACAAACACATAAGTCTGATTTCTTCTGGAGCTGGCTGTGATGAGCAGCCCTCTACCTTGCCATGTGTTAGGGTTTCCTTGATGTTTAATGCGTTTTTTCCGGTCTTGTCAGAGCATCGTTCAAAAACATTTTGAGGCAACAGCAATATTGAGATTCCCATGTTGCTTGAAAAATTACATTTGCAACACAATGCAGTTGATGTTGGCACACAGCACCCTTTCCGTTCAGCGCTGAAGAACGCTTTGACATCACATGCAGAACAGACTGATGCGACTTGAAGGTAAAATTCATCCCAGTGTTGAAAACCTGCAGGAAACATAACAGACACATAGAAAATGAGGGTTGGAAGGGACCTCAGGAGGTCACAACTAGTCCAATCCCCTGCTCAAAGCAGAACTATCTGCAGCTAAATCATTCCAGCCAGGGCTTTGTTGAGCTGGGCCTTAAAAACCTCCAAGGATGGAGATTCCACCACCTCTAGGCATCGTTTTCCAGTGCTTCACCACCCTCCTAGTGGGAAAGTGAGAAACTTCTTAGCAGCTGCTTTGAATAGTGGCACTGAAAACAGCATCAGGGATCCTGTACTTGTGGCCTTTTGGGAAGCTTGCAACATGGTTTTTCTGATAGCTACTGCTCCCAAGTCACCTACAGCTGTGTGGGTCCAAGCGGCAACTTGGTCTTGGATGTCATTGCAAAAACCCAGGTGCTGCTCACTAAACTGGACCCTTAGTGCCCCATGTGCAACCCCTGCCAATGTCTGGGTTTGACAAGGTTGATGTTATGAATATCACAGCGGTTCCTAAAGGCTTTGTGCAAGATCAGGCCCCACTGTGCTTGGTGGTGTATATAGTAGTAGGGAACAGTCTGTGCCCCAAAAGCAGAGAATCTAAATAGGACAGAGTAGAAGAGCAAATTGGAGGGATTATTAGCATTTTGCAGATGGGAAGTGGGGAGTTTTGCTGTGATTCACTCAAGGTCGCACAGGAAGTTTGTAGCAGAGCTGGGAATTACGCTCAGATTTCTTCAATTCCTGATGAGCACCTTTGCCTTACGAACTGTTTCCCTCATCTGGTTATAAGGTATTCACTGTAGAGGACCCTGTCCACACGCTCTCAGGTGGGCTGGCTCTGCAGGCCTTACTGGAGCAACAAGCAGTCAAGCCTTATGTTCGGGCCCTGCTCCTGCAGCACCCCATTGGCTTGGGGGGGGCTCCATGCAAGTAGTCCCTCCACCCTATCCAGATCACGATGGTCCTTTTTGTCTCTCACGTCAGCGGATCTGGTACTGAATGGTCACAAGGAGCTGACCACTTAAAAAGGTCTGTTCCAGCATCCTCTGATGTTGAGGGGAATCTTTCCATCGGTATCAAAAGGTTTTGGATCAAACCCGAAGCTTTTGGCAAGGTCTGCCGCATTGGGTAGAGCTTCCTTTGTGCCGAGCTGGCTGCACTCACTGCACTCGTGTCCCAAGGGGAAGACATTTTCTCAGTCATGTTCTGCTTTTCTAAAGGCATCGCAGCTCTATGTTTTATGCCTTTTATGCTCCCTGCCTTGCAACACTGGAAATTGAATTGGCAAAGACCAGGAAACAAACTGCCCAGGTGAAAAGAAAGTAAGAAAAAAACCTGACTTGGTAAAGAAAATAAAAGGGTGCATCTAAAAATGGCAGTGTAAATTGGAGCACTGTTTCTTCCTCACTTCGAGGGCTTTCAGGTGCACTGGGCCCATTTTACCTCCAGCCTTACCTCCCTAAATACCACAGCTCTCCCTTCTCCATCCCACTAAACATCAGCCACTTGCCTTTATCTTCAAGGAATTTGACAGCCCAACCTACCCGTTCTCTCTGATCTCCCATTCAGAGGTGAACTATTGACTGCTGCCTTCAAGCGGTCAGTAATGAGAGCCTCCATCCCTGCTTGTTACATTTTCCAGCAAGCACCTTCATGCTCCCTCCCCGGCTGCTCCTCTTGGCTTTGGATGTGTTTGCTGCAAACATCAGTAGACCTGCATCGTTATTCTCTTTTCAGGCCCTCCTTAAAACTCTCCTTTTGACACCATGCTTGCAAAAACATTTGCCAGCAGTTAGGCCAGACCTGTGCTGAGACCTCTGCCTCTTCTATTGATCAACGTTATCTTGCTGTTTCCTTGCGCTCCTTCATCTTGTCTGCATCTACTTGTCTCTTGTTTTAAACTTAATTGTAAACTCTTTGAGGCACCATCTGTCCTTTGATTTGTGTTTGTCCAGTGTGTCTCCAGCCCATAACGAGCACTATCAAAACAAATAAAATAATGATTAACAACATTCATAATCCAGGAATGAATTTGGGCTGCTGGCCTTTTTTCTTAATAATGCTCATAATAATGAAATTGCTTTCAAAGGGCATGACTTGCCCATAATAAAAATTAACACACGGCAAAAATTACATGGGCTTTGCTCAGTTTACAGCCAGTGCGTGAGATCCTTTACTACAGCCACCTGCCATAGCTGCTTTGACTTATGTGGGCTATGCTGATTTCTACCAGCTGAGGATCTGCCTCTGTGTTACTCTTATATTTTTCAGAGGCATCTGGGCTTCTTAGTGTTGCTTGGTAATACGTTTGCACTTCTCTAGCTTCTTTTCATGCAGCAGCAGCAGCAGGTGTCAAATCACTTGCCTGGCTTTGATTAATTAAACTCTCACTATCCCTGTAAAATAAGGCAGGGTAGATGCACATGTTCTTTTTCATCTTTCACAGCAAGACAGTCACCTCTATTTTAAAAGGCGGTGAGTATCTACCAGCACACACTAAACATCTCGGTTAAGGACAGGAAGTGAAAGATACAGTATCCAAATACAGAAATGTTAGGAGAATTTAGATAGCTAAGACTGAATTGCACACGTTGGAATTCGGCCAGTATACTCGTGCAGTCACATCCTTCATCTGGATGTGCTTGAATACAGGTATTATCATGTGGAGCCAGTTATAGATGAGGCCATTAGTTTTATGGTCAAGAACTCACTTTTATGTCTCCTTTGCAAGATGGAAAAGTGCCTCCTCTTTGGCTGGGCACTGGCTCGTTGCTCAATGGATTTATCTGAATTGATTACAGTTCTAAAAAAAAATGGAGTGTCATTTAAAACAACAATGTGGATGTTGTCAGTAAATGTGAGCTGTTTGATCAGGGATCCCTGCAGCTTGAGAAAGCAAGATTTCCTTGGGTACAATACATTGTTGACTTTTATATAAGCCATTGTTAATATTATTATAGCAGACAAATGTGGAAAGTAACCCTGTAAGATAGTGCTGTGATGAATAAAGCAAAGATAGAGTAGGACTAAGATAACAGGTTGTAGCAATCCAAGCCCAGCTGACTGCTTTCTTCAGTGCTTATTCTCATGCTGCCATCTATCGCTGGCAAAGTAGATCACAAATGTAATCTGTCCTTCCAGGTGTCCAAGATGGCATTACGCTGTGGATATAGTGGGTAGGGGTTGAGTCAGCCGTTGAGAGCTCCTTACAATACGCTTGCCTGTTGCTGCCTAAATCAGTCTCTCTCTCCTATTACATTTTGCATGGCCTTGTTGAGAAGTTAAAGTGAAGGGGAACGTATAAAGCAGGCTAATGGGGCAGTCTGACTTTGCAGATATGTTCTGCCCATGTTTTGACCAGGTAAACACCTTTCAAGTTCTCCTGATCTCAGATGGAGCGTCCACGTTTGCCGTGTTTAACTATGGGGAAATCAACTGGACCACTGGAACGGCAAGCGGGGGAGATCCCCTTACAGGACTTGGTGGAGTGATGGCTCAGGTAAGGACCTCATTGCGTCTTTGGGAGCACCGCTCTTGTTCAGGCAGGGAAATACCGTAAACTCTAGCGGAGATGGAGCTCGTATGGACCTGTGATGGCTTTTGTGCTCCTCTTATGGCTTAGAGCAAGTCCCCTCGGCTCCTGCTTCTAGACTCAAGGGTTTCAGTTTCAGAACCTGCCGGTGAACCAAGCAGGATCCATAGACCGGTTAGTCACATCCTTCATCTGGCTGCTCCTGTGGCTCTGGTCTTCATTCTCCTTTTCAGAATGAATAAGAGGAAGGCGATGAAATGAGGAACAGGAGGAAGCAGTGTGACTTACCCTTATGGGAAAAGTTAAACACTTGGCACCCTAAAGCATGCATGACATTGCCAGCTGATTGAAGAATGCCAGGTTTTTGTGAGAAGTGCATGTATGCATATGCTTTTGGGGAAATTGTTCACATTTGTACGGAAACCCCCCAAAAAAGTCATTTTAAACATCTAAAAATCCTGGAAACAGAGATTTTGAAGAACTGAATCTTGTTTTTGAAAAGCAAAAACATTTTGAATTTGGGCAGAGGGGGGTGGTTGTCAAAACAACATACAAAATGTTTTCTTCAGACTTAAAAGACGCTTGTTGTTCCGAAGAAAAACCATTTAGGCTAATACATTCCAGCCTGCTCCAATTACACATTTTCTTAATGTGACTTCTCGCTGCAGACTGCTGCTCTAGCTGCCATGGGAATCTGACATGATCATGATTGAGAGGGAAGCTAAACCTGAGATAATCAATTGCAAGAAAAACAAAAAGAGACAAATTCAGGATTATAAATAGCAGCGATGCTAAAAAATCTGAAATAGGCCATGCAGGGAGGATCTATACTTGTGCTTTTATGTGAATTCTGCTCTTTCTTTGGTTTAGGCAGGATTTAATGGTGGAAACATGACCGATTATTTCAGTATTCCTGGTTCAAGAACCCCAGATATAGTCAACATTGAAGACACAACCAATGTAAATGTCCCTGGACGCTGGGTGTTCAAAGTAGATGGCCGAGAAATTGACCCAGCCAATGGCTGCAGCCTGCGAGGTAAATAGCTTTTTCAGTTCTTCAAGGTTTGCCATGTGGGGTAACGGAAAAAAATCTTGTTTGAGAGTTAATGGTAGGATGTACTGCCGTTGCTTCCTGCTGTGTGGTCCATGTTCTTGGGGATGATAGTACAGGTGAATTGTAAACACTCAGATCAGTGACAGCCTTTTGAAATGAAGAATGAGCACGATTGTAGGACGAGGAATCAAATGCCTTGGCCTAAGGACAGAAATTACGCATAAACCAGTATACGTGATTGGAAACCTTTTCAAATCTATAACACAACAGAAGTTTAGTGCACATAAACCACTTTCAAAACTGGTTTCAGATAAACCTGGATGGATGCAGTATCAGACTTAACTGATTTAGCTTAAATTGGTTTATTGAACTTCTGTCCCAGATCCCCTCCAGATTCAAGTTAACTCTCAGTTCTCTAGCATCCCAGGATCCTTTACAAGGTGGGCAGGCTAGCCTTGGCCTAAGCTGTCTGCTCCAGCCCAGCAGGGAGGTGTGCTCTAGTGCCCCCCGGCTTCTGGCTTGGGCCACTGCAGGCATGTGGCTGCATTTCCAGAATCAAAAATGAATGCCCGCTCATTTGCTTATCAGTTCAATCTATGCAGTTTAGACTAACCTGTGAAGACTGAATCTATTCAGCCTCGGGCATTTTGGCTGCCTGTACTTAGCCTTGGAGTCTAGTCCTGTCTGAGCTATTGACTGTCTGCTTGGTCCTGGGCTGTCTGGTCCCACCTGATGGCAGCCACACACCAGGAATGACATCCAAACACGGTTGAGAGCTGTGGGAGTTTTGCCATGGAGCTCAGAGGGGCCAGGATACCGATCCCTTAGTGGTGTGAGTTACCTAAACCACTGTAAGCCTCTAATTTGCACAGCAGGCCAGTTTCAAGGAGGTGAAAGCAGCAGGTTTCCCTATCTATGCCAAAGATGTGCATTGCTGCAGATATACCAGTGATCAAGCCAACAATGAGTATGAATGGGGCAACTCCCCTGTGTAGATAAGGCCGAACTATGGAGTTTTTTAAAAGTGGAAAAGAGACCCAAAGAGAAGGGAGAGTCTGTTCTTTTCTCTTGCATACACTTGTGCAACTCATTAATGTCAATGGGAAACCTTAGTCTGTGCTGGCCTTGTTCCCATCCTTCTGTGATTTTTAGTAGCTAGCTGTTACTAAAAGCCTCCGTTCCCACCACCCCAACATTACAAACCTGTGAAACTATGGGTTTAAGTGATCGGACACAGCTGAGATCTGCTTACCTTTATTCTAGTCTGTTATTTGTGATGCTAACAACAGCAGAGAAAAAGACGTGTCTGGCTGTTCTGATAGAATTGCCATCACTGTAAAAAGACAATATTCCCATTTCATTTCCCTTGCGTCTGAATTATGGATTGCAGCATTTACGCATAGGATAAATTCAGTGCCCTGCACAAACTGCGATGAACGCCCATGTGTCACTGACAGTGTGTAGGTATAAAGGGATTGAAACTCTCGCTTGTGATACCAGAGAGACACATCTGCATAGAGATTATTGCATTATCACTTTACAAATAAAACCGTCTAGGGCGTCTCCACTGCTCCTGAATTCTTTTTAACAAGAGAAAATTTACACTCGCTGCTGGAAACCTGAAATGTGAAGGACTGAAGATGCATACTAGGGCTGAAAGCTGCAGCTTGTTTTATATTCAGTGCTGGACTAGAGTTGAAAAAGCCCAGCTAAACCAAAAGGCCTCTATACCCCTGGAATAGTTCATGGTCCATTATTGAGCAAATTTGCACCATTGGCTCCCGGAACATAGGCTGAGATTTTCAAAAGGGTGGTCCCCCTTCAGACTGATGAGAATAGTACATCTCTGTTCCTTAGACGGATTTGGAAGTCCCGGCCAACAACTTGCTGCCATTTGTAAAACAAGTTGCCCAGATTTTTCAAGTTGTAGAAACTAACCCTAAGAGGGTTTGTGTTGCCCAGTTTTATTTGTCAGTGTCCTGGTCACAGCAGGTTGACTCCAAAGGCACTGTAATGGGTTTCGTGACGATTAGGGGGTATTTTCTCGGGGAAAGAGAAAATATCAAAGAGAGATGGCGCAAATGGACAGATGGAAAGATCAATAGGAAGAGAGTATTGAAAGATCAGTGGCAGATTCTCTGGTGGGAACATAGACCCATAGACATGTGTTTACCGGTGTAAATTCTTCAATCCTTTCTCATCCATCTTTTCTCCTATCCATCCTTCTCCATTCACTTAGAAAACCATTAGTCAGACTTTGTATTCCAGTCCTAGTTTACAGCGTTATAGATTTGTTCGATAATGAACGACTGCTAATTCTTCTAATGGAAGGCTAACTATCTTATGGGATTGCTTACTGATGTCTCTTTGGTTACATAATTAGCATAGGTATTTTTAGAATTTGGGTACATTGACTACATTGTGTGTATGCCATAATTACTGTCTGGTTCACCTTGCAGCTGTGCAAATTTAGTAATTACAGGTATCAAAAAGCATAACTGCAATCACTATATTATAAAAAGCAACCCAAGCATGCATACTTTGTACACAGAATTTCCCACTGAAGAAAACAGCCCAAGCACCTCTAAGTTTCAAGCAATAAAGGTTCCTAGATCCAAAATACAGTGTGAAGAGTTCCCAAAATTTGGAGCTCCATCTGGTTTTGTTACTTCCGTAGGGACCTGATTCAGCAAGGAACTAAAGCACACACTTAATTTGAAGCATCTGAGTAGTGCCATTGATTTCAAAATGAAACCTATACCTCTTATGTTTTGCTGAGCTGGTGTCATAATGCGCTAGATCTAGGTAAAGCAGACCGTTAATGTCACATGCAAAGCACTATTACAAAAGTGCTTAGCTGGTGATCTTGCATTGGTGGGCCATTAAACTTGTCCAAGTGTTGGATCTGGATTAGAAAGAACAGATGACTTTGCCCCCCTTGATTGTTTTCACATCACTCGTCCTGTGTTCTGAAAAGTAATGCAGTGTGGGGTTTTCTTAGGCCAGTTTCTCCGTCAAGGGGAGATATTCTGGGACAACTCCAACTGCACCATCAAGTGTCGCTGCCTGGACTTCAACAATGAGATCTTCTGCCAGGAGATGTCTTGCGGCCCCTACGAAGCATGTGAGCCGAAGGACAAGTTCTACCAGTGCGTGCCCGTGGAAAGCAGCACCTGCGTGGTGTTTGGAGACCCACACTACCACACCTTCGATGGCTTCCTCTTTCACTTCCAGGGTTCCTGCTCCTACCTTCTTGCCAAACAGTGCCAGTCAGGGTCCAACCTGCCATTCTTCAGTGTGGAGGCCAAGAATGAGAACCGAGGCAGCTCCTCCGTCTCGTGGGTGAAGGACATTGCAGTGGAGGTCTATACTCACAAGATTATTATCCCCAAAGGGAACTTTGGGAAAGTTAAGGTAAGAGCTTCACCGAAAAGAAATGGCAAATTGGTGTCGCTTCACTGAAGACAGTAGGGTTAATATGATCGTGTAAGGATGAGGATATGGCCTGATGTCTTAATCTGGAATCATGGCCAGACAGAGCTCTTCAGATTTGTGAGTGTACGTTGTAGACGGTGCTGTAAGTCAGACAGCCCCCAAGACAGACTCTTAAAAACCAGTCGTTCTTCCTCAAATTCTGGAGGAGCTGGGTCGGTATCTCCAGATCCAAATTCAGGATCCTGGTTAGATTCTGTCGTGGCAAAGGGCATCTTTCCCTGAATCCGGTTCTCGTGGAGACCCTGTGCTCACACACAGCAGAGCAAACCTGTGGTTTTACCTGATTCTAATCTCTGGTTTTGCCCCTGCAGGTAGACGACTTGTTCCTGTCCTTACCCATCACCTTGGAGCTGGGGGCAATTAAAATCTACCAGAGTGGTTTGTCAACAGCAGTGGAGACTGATTTTGGCCTTTTAGTGACTTTTGATGGGCAGCATTATGCCTCCATCTCCATCCCAGGCTCCTACATTAATGCCACCTGCGGCTTATGCGGGAACTACAACAAGAATCCTCAGGACGATAGTCTGCGCTCAGACGGGAGGCCGGCTGTGTCGGTGCTGGACCTGGGGGAGAGCTGGCGGGTGTACCACCCAGACTGGAAATGTACCCCGGGCTGCTTGGACAACTGCACCCTCTGCGATTCTGTGATGGAGTCCCTCTACTTCTCACCAGAGTACTGTGGCTTCATCAACAAGAGCAACGGCCCTTTGTGGGAATGCGGCGCCATTGTAGACCCCACAGCCTTTGTCCACAGCTGCGTTTACGACCTTTGTAGCATCAGGGATAATGGCACCAACCTGTGCCAAGCAATACAGGCGTACGCCTTGGTGTGCCAAGCCCTTGGGATTCCGGTGGGAGACTGGAGAACCCAGATAGGGTGTGGTAAGTCTGTATGCCCGGAGGCTGAATGGCTCCCCTTGTGAAGTGGGAAGTGGTTTCAGGGGCCTTCAAGAAACTCCTATCGAAGTCGGAACCGTGCAGGAGAGAAGAAAAGGAAAGAGTAGGGGAGGGCGAAGCAGGACCGAGGCAGACAGAGCGCAGGTGAAAGCCGATCAGTCCCTCTTTTCAATCCTGAAACGCAGTACGAGGGGGCCAAGGTGTAGCTTGAAGTAACTCAAGGCCAGCGAGTGCAGAACAACAGAAGGCAGCTCTTCGCCGTGCTCTGCAGAGTTCAGGGCCACTGAACCGAGCACTGTGGCTGCATTCAAGACGGAGCCGGCCAATTTAAATGACTGCTGGCAGTCCCTGCCGTGCCGGCTGCGTGAATAAATGGAGCGCTCTCTACCTGCTTGCTCCCCAGAACCAGTTTAATGCAGGGGGCACTTCAGTGGTTTCATGGGGGGGAGCTCCCAATTGACACCTACGTGGGTGAGAAGAGAAACTGGGCCTCATGCTCCCCTTTGGGAGGGCTCAGGGCAGAACTTCCTACCTGGGTATAGCACAGCTTAACTGGCTGAGTGCCCAGGGCTGGAATAATCACACGGGTGCAGTATGATTCATAAATTGAAAGGGCATATGCCCCTTACCCTCTGGCCTGTCGGGAAAAAAGATGCTAGATACAGTGCTTCTGGCTGCAAACTGCAGCTCTTCTGCCTCAAATCAAAGCTGTAGAGGTGGGATGGTTGCCTTCCACGTGGACGGCAGGGTAGATGTGCCTTCTTCACTGCCACCCACCCCAAGTGCAGAGCTTAGTTACCGCTGGGTCCAGCTGCCTCAGTGAAAGCCATAGGACAGGGTGGGAATAATAATACTTCATTAATAATGATAATCTAACCTTGGCAGGAAGGAATTCACACCAAGCTCATTATCATGGAGTATGTCAGGAGGTGTTGGATGGCAAGACGAGAATAATAATAAATAATTAATCGCTATGGCAAGGATAATATTTAATACTAGTCAGCATCAGCATGTGCATATTACCTGTTAGATAATACTGTGTGGTGACGACTGTCTTGCTTCTCTCTGCTATATCAATAATCCATACTGCAGTAAGGAGGCACCAATTAGTGAAGTGACATGGCAGTGAGAGCTGGGGGATGGGTAACGATGATAGCAGCCATCACCTGAAAGGCTTCTGGCCGCTTGACATTCTCGGGGAGATTTTGGGCATCAGCCCATAGTGAAAAGTCAAAGAAGCATACAAGCCTTATAGCTCTTGAGCATGCTAGTGTCTGTAGCCCACAGCACACTGGAGCTGATGGGGTAACTGGCACAACTGATTCACCCATAGTCCCTCACTGGAATTCCCTTTCTCTTCTCCCAGGTTTCTGGTTTCCTTCTCCGCCCCTTATTTTCCGTTGCTTCCATTATACAGAGGGTAAAGTGGAGGTAGGAGTTGTGCTGGCAAGGGTGGGACAGGCCTGCCATACTGTGCCGCCGAAATGGGAGCACTGCACGTGTGAACCCAAAAGGGGCAGTTAGTGCGGACACACTGGGCTGCTTGGAGGGCCGGATTCAGATCCTACGCTGCTGTAAATCAGGAGCAGCTACGTGGAAAGCAGGGTTAGAAGCCAACGGCTTCAGGCCCAGAAACTCAACTTTTAAGTTGACAAAAAACAAACTATGCACCATGGGCGTTGCTCCGCTGATTTACACCCACAAGCGATCTGGCCCAGAGTGTCTTTGTAACACTGCCTCTCTCCTCTCTCCCCCAGCCACAGCAGTGCACTGTCCGGAGTTCAGCCACTATTCAGTTTGTACCAGCAGCTGCCCGGCCACATGTTCGGATCTAACCGCTCCTCTGGCCTGCAGCTCCCCCTGCACTGAGGGCTGCGAGTGCAACGAAGGCTACGTTCTCAGCACAAACCAGTGTGTCCCCATCCAGAAATGTGGCTGCGATGTCTTTGGCCGCTACTACGCCACTGGGGAGTCCTTCTGGGCCACCTCGGACTGCACGGTGCAGTGCTCATGCGAAGACGGTGGGGAGATCAAATGCTTTAACACCACGTGCCAGGAAGGGGAGGTCTGCACCGTTGAGAGCGGCTACCAAGGCTGTTACCCCGTACGAGAGACCCTGTGCCTGGTGAGCCAGAACCAGGTGCTGCAGACCTTCGATGGCGTGGCGTTCATGTTCCCACCGGAGCACTCCTACACGCTGCTCAAGACATGCCCCGACAGACTGGAGTTCCTGGAAGTCGACATCAGCAAAAAGAAACCTGAAGCCTCCCCTACCGGGCTGCGAGCCTTGAGGATCCACGTGGCCAGTCACGAGGTCAAGATTGGAGGCACCGGCCCGACCGACATCAAGGTAAAGCTCCTGCCATGGGGCAGCCACGACTGCATGCAGAGAATAGGGAAGCACCAGGACTTGCGTGTGCCAAAGCTTGTACGCAGCCTCGGTGTGTGGAGCATCTGTGAGCGCTGCAGCGCTTCTGGTAGCGTGGTGCTGTACCACCCACTTTGAGACAGGGGTTGTGGACCCTAGATCCCAGGCTAGAGGGTCTTGATCTTCTGTTCAGGGCCACACTAGTTGCCAGGACAGATTTTTTCTCCCAGGCTCATTGGCAAGAATAGCGTGCAGCGGGAAAGGGACTTGCTTTCCTTGGTAGCATAAATTGCATGATCCTCTTCCTAAGATCCACTGGGCGTATATCGACCAACTCTTTTTCTGCTGTAGCAGATATTAGCAGTGCCCTGCAGCATGCCCTGATGTAGGGGGCTGGTGGTGGTTTGGGTTTTGTCGTGCGCTCAGCCGTTGCGGTGCACGAGTGGGGTTGGAGTGGTTGGCTCTTGGGATTCTCCAGGTAAATGATTCTCAGATACCTACTAATGTAGGAGACCAGACTCGATGGCCCAGAAATCCCCTTCCAGCTCTGAGTTCCTACCAAAGGCAGCGTGATCTGCCAGAAATAAGTGCTGCAATTAGCCAAGGCACAATGGCTCTTTGTTGCAAGGAAACGACAGCGCGCAGCTGGGAAAAGAACCCAGGTGCCCTGGCTCTTGCTACTGGGCAGCTCTACTCGTCCCAGCATACACAGGTGGAAATTTAGGAGCCAAACCTAATTCTCAAAAGCTCCTTTGAAAAATCACCATCTACCATCTACTGTCTCAGAAGCCCGTGGTTCTTTTACCCATCCATCCAGCACAGTTGATGGGTGGGAAATAGACACCGAGTGAACGAATCAGGCATGCTAAAGTGTGGAATAACAGGATTTAATTAGTGTTGGACCCAGGCCCTGTGCTCAGTGCTTGGGGAAGGTGGTGCTGTGAGCTATTGGACCGTGGGGACTCTTTGCTTGGAATGGATGCCAAGACCAGGGGCACGTAGCAAGAAATAAATGTACAATTCCTGTACTGCAAGTCTGTGGTTTTTAATTAAAATACAGTTGCCTGCAGAGCCCCTGGTTGCAGTGTAGTTCTAGTCAGCAAAGCAGCACCAGAAAACAAGGAGCCTTCTTCCCAAGCTCCCCACAAGTCATTAAGTCTTATCTGCTTGCTTTACTTTCGCAAGTGAAATCTAGCTCCTCCTGGTCCTGCTGAGACAAGGCCCACCGCAGGAGGGAAGGCAGGATGCTACTCTGACTCATGCATCATTAACAAAAACCATTGCTAAGATTCTCAGCTAAGCTCCATTTGCCAAACATTTATTAGTGGTGAATGATGATGCTAGATGCAGAAAGGGCTCCGCTTGATTGATCGAATCCCAGCCCGAGTCTCTGTCACTGGCATTAGAAAAAGCAACTCTTGGCTTCAAGAAAGGGCTGGGAAAAGCAACCCCCTGTGGAATCCACTGCAGAGGTGCTGACAAACAGTCACTCCTAGCTGTAATCTCACTTCAAGCCATAGCTGTTTAAAAATGCATATACTGCAGGCAGGTGAGGGGAATAAGGGCGTGAGGCTGCCAGCAATCCTGTTTATTACCACTGAAACCCATGGGTTTTTCCAGCAGCCAGTGCTAATACTGAGTGTTGCTCTCATACATGCCAGTGTGCAGCACTCTTTCACCATGCTTGCAGTCTTCCCCACTGCTTCATGCCCTGCTGGGTAATGGGCACCAGCCCTCTCTGCTAGATGGACTCATTTGTTGGCATAGGTGGTAGGTGTACTGTTAATGGAGAGTTGCTTTTCACTCTAGGAGGAGAGATATCTATCCCTTAGAATCACAGAAACATGGAGATAGAAGCATCTCAGGAGTTTGTCTTGTCCCATCCCCACCTACTCAAGGCAGGATCATGTGTCCAAGCCACCCTACACAAATGTGGGTTGAACCGGCATTTAAGAAAGATTGCACAGCCTTTTCAGATGATCCGTCTAAGTGCTGCACCACTCTGCTTGAAAGAGGATCTCTGCTATTGAACATGACAATTGAGTTAGCTCTTAGGAGCCCAGTCATAGGCCAGCACCCCATTGTACAAACACAGAGCAAATTGATGGCTCAGACGCCAAAGATTTTTGTAAACCATTGGAAACCATTTGAACCATTGAACCATTTGAAATTCCAAATGAGCATCTTTGTGTAGTAGCAGCTCTGACGTTTTGAAGAGACCAAGGGTTGGTTAGATTAGCTTATGTCCTAGCTACAGTCTCTCCCGTGCTTTCCTTTCGACTCTTCCGCTCTGATCTCATGAGGGCAATGGGAGATGTTAACATAGATCAAACTACAGTGCGTGTCCCACTGGTGGACCACTGCCTGTACTAAACCTTTGTGCAGGTTGGTGGAAGGTGTAGCACAGATGGAAGAACCTGTTATAGCTTAGTCCTGGTGCAAATGCCTGCTGTCCGCCCTGTACTTGAGGTGGGTTTTGGAAGCTACCTCATGTTCTCCCTAGTGTAGAGTAGGAGCTTTTCCACCTTGCTGGCTGAGGTGGGGGTGGGCAGCAGGCGCCTGGTCTTCAGAAGTCACATCCAGACAGGGGCACATCAAATTATGTGATGCAATTTTGTTGGCAGGTCAATGGTTACGAAGTGGACCTGCCGTTTTTCCACCCTTCTGGCCAACTGGAAATTTACCGTAGCAAAAATGGCACAGTGGTAGACTCTGAAGGGCTCCTGACTATACAGTACTCCGACATGGGTATCCTGGAGATACACCTCTCGACCAGCTACTTCAATTGTACGGGAGGGTTGTGCGGCTTCTTCAATGGGAACAGCAGCGATGAGTTCTGCCTCCCCAATAACAAGTGCACTGAAAACCTGGCCGTCTTTTTGGAGAGCTGGACCACTTTTGATGAGATCTGTAACGGGGAATGCGGGGACCTGCTCAAAGCCTGCAACAACGACTCGGAGCTGCTCAAGTACTACAGGAGCCGCTCCAAGTGCGGGATCATCAACGACCCCACCAACAGCTCCTTCTTGGACTGCCACGGGGTGGTCAACGTGTCGGCTTACTACCGAACGTGCCTCTTCCGCTTGTGCCAGAGTGGAGGAAACCAGTCGGAGCTCTGTGATTCGGTGGCTCGTTACGCCGGCGCCTGCAAGAATGCAGGGGTGGATATTGGCCAGTGGAGAAGCTACAGTTTTTGTCGTAAGTCGGGGAAGTTCTTTGGTTGACTGGTTTTTTGGTTGGCTGGGAGGGGAGGCTGAGTGAAGACAGGGGGTTGAACTCTGATTGTTCAGGCCAGAAGTGTAACAAAGCAGAAAGTCACCTGGGGCAGTGGTGACTTGTGCAGCAGAGGCAGATGATATTTTTTCCACCCTGCAAAGCTGGCACCAGGTCACCCTGCCCTAGTTATGCTACTGGTTTGGGGACCTCTTTGGAAAATTCAGCATCTTCTTCCTAGTGGAAGGCAAATAGATTTTTTTTTCCCCTTCCTCCTTTCCTGTCCTGAGATGCTGCTCAGCAAGGCCATGCTTCCAGCCTCGAGTTTGAGGAAAGTGCTTGAGGTGGTCCCATAATATAATGGCTTACCAAGACCAAGGGCCCATGACTTCAGCACAAGAGGATTATTGATCTAAGGCGCACCAGTTTCCATAACCAGGAAAGGGAGTGATGCAGCTGTGACAGCCCTGTCCGTATGACCTGGTACCATTATACCTGGGTCAAATAGACTCATATTTTGGTCTGAGGCTGAGTTAAGGCTCAAACTCCTGCCTGTGGAGGTTAAGTGAGACCCCTTATCTGCTCAACCTCCGTGTTCCCCACATAAAATGTAAAGCTAGTCACGTTCTTTGCAGGGGATGAGGCTTAGATGATCATAATATGGCCCCATGTGACTTTTTTTTGGTGAGGGGGGGACAAAAGTGGCTTTTTGAGCCAAATGAAATTTCTCTTGGAAAATGATACGGTTTTGGGAGCAGCAGCTGCCTCTTTGTTTTATGTGCAAAGGACACAGCAGGGCATAGCATGGTGGGGTCATGATTCATGATTGAGGTTCATAGTCTCTATCACAATACAAATATCTATTGTTTTGTCGGGTTACCCAGCACCATGTTATCTGGGCCCAGTATAAATTCATAAGGCAATACCCTGATCCCAATGAAGTCAGTGGGCATTATGCAATTGATTCCAGGGAAATCAAGATTTCTAAAAGAAATTTAAAGCCCAAAAGGGACAGTTCCTACTGCCTTGTCAGCTCTCTTGCTTAACAGAAGCCAAAATGTTTCACCCAGGACCTCCTGCAACCATTGCAGTGTCAGATCAGGAGCAGAAGTTTGATTTGCAAAAAGAACACCTCCACCAAGTTTTGCTTTTGCTGTTTAACAGGCTGCAGTCGATCCGTGCCTTTTGTGGTGCGAGACACCAGTGATGCATGATGCGCACTCTTATCTAGCGGTGCTAAGCCATGCGTTTAGGTGATCAAAGAGCAAATGGGGTTATTTCCTAGCTTGTTTACCAGGCCTTTACTCAGCTGAGGGCGCAGATTGGGCCCCAGTAGCATCATACCAAAATACAGGCCCTTGTAACAGTAAAAATATATTCATATTTTTCCTGAAGAATTGGCAATTGAATGGGTGACTTGGACAAATTAAGAGTGTAATCTTGTTTGAGCATGAAGACACAAAACTGTCACCTTTTGTGCTCGTGGTATTTTTTAAGCATTTCCTTTGCCTGCAGAGACAGGTTTCCCAATTAAGTAATTTCATGGTGGCATTTCAAGAGACATCAGGAGTTTTATTACACTGTAGATGAGCGTTCCAGAATTGCAGATGGATTCTAACAATACTGTAAGCCATCAACAGAGGGTAATTTGAATAAGTCATGTTTTTTGCTATTGCTATAAACTTGCCATTGATGTTACAACATTCATAATTCAGGAGCAAATGTGAAAACTCCATGGTGCTGAAGTACATAATCTGAGATGAACTAGCTGTGGTCCCTTGAGCTCAGGGCTTACAGGCATGTGAAGGGCAGGAGAAGCGGTGGGGTATAGAAGTTAGGGCTCTGGACTGAGTCGGGAGCTTCTAGTTGTGTTTCTGGCCATGGTACTGACACTGGGAATAGTCATTTCTTTTGTCTCTACCTCTGTTCTCGCTTCAGCCCACCGTTTATCTTACCTGTTTTGATGGTGAGTTGTTCAGGGCAAGGGCATAGACATGAAGGATGGTGATGGTAAGGGAGAACCAGTAATGTGCATGTACAGAAGCCACTGAACCCAGAAAAGCGTGTTGCTTGCAGTATACACCGTGGTCACAAAGCACACTTACTCTCAAGCAGTTTGACTCGGCTCCAGGGTGAAAGCAGATCAGATATTTGATTAGCCTTACATGAATGTAAGTCCCACCCTTCCAGGGAAACAGGATCATAGGAAAGTAGGGCTGAAAAGGACCTAACAGGGTCAACTAGTCCAGCCTCCTGCTCCAGGCAGGATCCTCCTGACTAAACCATCCCAGCTAAGTGTCTGTCCAACCTGCCCTTGAGCATTTCTAGGCATGGAGATTCCCTAACTTCTCTAGGGAGCTTGTTCCAATGCTTCATCACCCTTGTAATCAGAAAGTTCCTCTAATCTCCAACCTATACTTCCTCTGCTTGAGTTAATTGCTCCCAGTCCTGTCCCCTATAGCCACAGAAAAAAAGGCTATCTTCATCCCCGCTATAATCACCCTGCAGGTGTTTGAAGACTGTTATCAAATCCCTCCCTGCCGCAACCTCAGTCTTCTCTTCTTCAGACTAAATCACCCTAGTTCTTCCAACCTTGCTCATAAATCATTGTTACTCCCTAGGAAGCAAGGAGTAGCTATGCCAAACTAAGTTATCCTGGTAGGCCAGCTGTATGTCTGCTCCCCTGGTCGATATTATTTTGGGTAACTTTGTTCAGTGCAAACCGGCTTCCACGCCAGGCATTGGAATAGCTCCTACTACAGACAGCTACTGGTAGCTTGGGAGCTGGTCATGTGTATGCTCCTTACTGTGGAGTAAATTCAGCACTGAATAATTGTGCTATGTGCCTGCACCCTTAAATGGACAGTCAGTGAACTCATTTATGCACAATGTCAGCAGTGGCATCGAGGATAGAAGCTCCCAGAGGGACCAGGTGGAGAATATTTACAAATATTCAATTCAATATTCAATATCCAAAAAAAAAAAGAAGGGTCGATTTGAACAGGATCCTGAGATCAGGCAGAGAGGAAACTCCTGCGCGAGGGACGGGCAGGAAAGCATCAGGATGGCCAAAACGGGGAAGGAAACAGTATCTGAGGTGGGCGTTCCTGCACCACCATCTCCTTCCTCCCCACGTGGGTGATCTGGGGTCTGCTTTCTAATCCCACATCCTGCTTTCTCTCTGCCCTGAATCCCCATCTCTGATGACTGAGATGCCTTTCTCTCTAAGAAGCCATTGACACCGGGTGTGTTTTTTTGCCTCCAGCTCTCGTGTGTCCTGAGAACAGCCACTTTGAGGAGTGCATGATCTGCACGGAGACCTGTGAAACCCTCGCCATTGGCCCTGTCTGCGTGGACAGCTGTGAGGAAGGCTGCCAGTGTGATGAAGGCTTTGCCCTCAGAGGGACTGAATGCATCCCCAGGAGTGAGTGTGGCTGCAATTTTGAGGGGCATCAGCTCTCCACCAACCTGACCTTCTGGATGGACATCAACTGCCAGTCCTTCTGCTACTGCAATGGGTCTGACAACAGCGTGTACTGCGAGAACGTCCCTTGCAAGGAGGATGACTACTGCCTGGAGGAGAACGGCCTCTATTACTGCCACCCCCGCACAGATGCCTCCTGCATTGTTTCTGGCTACAGCCATTACTTGACCTTTGATGGGTTTGCTTTTGACTTCCAAAGCAGCTGCCCACTTGTCTTGTGCACAACCATCTCCAGGCAGCGGTCGGAGAGGTCAGATACTTTTCCCAAATTCACTGTCACGGCCAAGAATGAGGACCGTGACCCATCCTTAGCTTTGTGGTTGAAACTGGTCGAAGTGGAAGTCTTCAATTACAACATAATCATCCAACGGGCCTACAAACACACAGTGCTGGTGAGTGGCCTAACTGTGGGGTGCCTCAAAGGCAGCAGGCTGGGGTAGGCCATCTGAGGGCTGGGCAGAGGCTCGGGTAGATGGTAGTTATGGTGCTGGATGGGAAATGTAAAGCTTTAGTAGATCTTGAGTCATAGTTTTATCCCACCCTGGTTTGCTGCAGCACCTGCATCCCAGTTGGATCCTCTCCAGAATTCCTCGTGCTTAAGCATCTTCTGCTACATTCATTTCACTGGGCTGCCATTGATCTCTGCTTCCACAGACGCCTCCTATTTTCAGCTCTGGTGCCTTCCTGGCTGTGTAAATGCCAGTACCCATTTGCATTCGTACTGTGAGGAAGGATGATGCTCCACTAAGCGATGGCGGAGGGTCCAGACTGGCCAGCCAGAAGTTTCCTTCGATCAGCTGGAACTTGCCTGGGCTCTCCATGCTGTCGCTTCTAGAGGCTTGTTTTTCCCAGAGGGACTTGTTCATGGAAGGGAGGAAGCAGAATCCAAATATTTCCAAACTATTTGCATTATATGGCTCAATCTGGGGCACACGTGGTCACAAACTGCAGTGGTGACAAGAGGAGCCCTAGTGTGGAAAATGTTGGGACCAGATCTAACCCGTCTCCCAGCTGCTAATGCTGGCTCCTCCAGGGCTGTGTCCAGGTGGTGGTGGTTGTTGCAATTAGCATGGGATGTATCACCACTTTTTCAGATGTGTTGTATTTAAATCCATGCACAATAGTGGAAGAGCATAACCCACAAGAAGTGATGCTCCTCTGTCCTTGCAGGTTAATAATGATCACCTGTATACATCTTTCCATCTGCTTCCTTTCAGATAAACAATGAGCGTCTCTACCTGCCCTTGAAACTGGGCCAAGGGAAAGTGAACATCTTTGCCTTTGGTTTTCACATTGTGGTGGAGACTGATTTTGGTCTGAAAGTGGTCTATGACTGGAAGACCTTCCTCTCTGTCACCATCCCACGAAGCCTCCAGAACAGCACGTACGGCCTCTGTGGCCGCTACAATGGCAACCCCGATGATGACCTGGAGATGGCTAGTGGCACGATGGCCACCACCATCTTTGAGTTTGGTCAAAGCTGGGTGAAGCGAGACACGTTTTGTCAAGTGGGCTGTGGTGACCGGTGTCCTGCATGTGGGAAGGTGGAAGGGTTCTGGAAACCCCAGCAACTGTGCAGCCTCATCCCAAGCAAAAGCGGAGTCTTTGCCAAGTGCCACAGTAAAGTCCACCCCGGCTTCTTCTACAAGAACTGCCTGCTCGACACCTGCATTGATGGCGGAGCGACACAGACTGCTTGCAGTTGGCTGCAGAACTACGCCAGCACGTGCCAGACCCAGGGAATAGCCATCACCGGCTGGAGGAACTTCACCTCATGCTGTGAGCAGAGCCTTTTTCTTTTGTCCTTTATCATGTAATCTGCTTGGATGATTGTCTTCTCCTGGGCCAGGTTTCCAGGCAGCGATGCCCATTTGCATCAAAGGGCTGAGCCCTTTGCAAGCAGAAACTAAAAGCTTCCATCTCTGACTGCAAAGGGAGTGGGATGTAAAAAAGAAAATCACAATAGAGATTCGTAGGAGTGAGGTTCACATCCAGGTCCTGATCACTGCTCTGCATAATCCATGGGAGATTAATCTCAATACATTGGCCCTCTTCCTTGTGCAAAAGAGTCCATGTCATAAAATGGCCATCCCATATGGTAGTATTAATGCCTCCACCCATGCCCACTTTGTGGCAGCTGGTGGAGCACAAGGACTGCATGAAACAGGGAGACTTGTCCTTCCCAGTGATTCCTGAAGACAGTAACATAACTAAGATTGGATGACAGGGGCAGCAGCCCTGGGTGCCAACTTTGGGGGGTAGTGGGGAAGAAGGCAGTGACAACGTATCATCTGCCCCCACACCCATGCTGCTGGCACTAGCAGCCAGAAGTTGCTGCTGCCCCAGGCACCCAGCCGCTCTGTTATGTCTGTACCTGAAGAACAGAGTCTAAGGCTTGTTGAGGTGGGACCATGATAATGAGAGCTTGTGGTGCCACTGCCCATGCTTAAAAAGAGTGTCTGAGACTCTATGCTGGCTACATTTCTCCTCAAGCCTGGTGGCAGGGTGCAGTGAGGATGCCGGGCTAGGTCTGCAGATAGCATACACTAGTAGATACAAGCAACCTTCTAGCCATCTTGGTGGGAGAGGGCTTCCTCATGAGGTTGCTCAACAAAACAGATTGTTTAACATACGTCTTCTGTGGGGTGAAAGCTGAAACCTCTCGCAGCAACCTGGAGCTCGGGGGACATCAGCTATTTTATAGCTTTGTATTTTCACTTTTACCAGCCTGTTTCTCCAGAGCAGGCCGGAAGAAATCCTGAAAAAATCAAAACTTTTTGGCTCTTTGGGCATTTATACATGTGCTCCAGAAAGGGGGGGGGTTGGTGCACTTTAATTAGAGGGCTGTAATTAAAGCACCTGGAGAGTCACGTGTATCAGCATCCCCACTCTGAAAAACAGTAGTGGGGGTGCTTTAACTAAACCTCGTCAGATGAGCTTTAGTTAAAGCACCCCGCCACCATTTTTCAGTGTGGCGACGCTGGTACATGTGACATTCGAGTCGGCTGGAGCACGGTAATTACCACGCTTCAGCAGACTCTGTTAATCGAGTGTGCTCTGACACACTAATTACAGTGCATCCGAGCCGCCTCACTGCTTGTGTATAGGGGCCCTCTGATTCCAAACACTTTTCATTTTGAAATTCCCCTCTGTTTTATTTTTTAAAAAGGCTTAAAAGTGAAACACAGTTTTTCCTTTTTGGGACCATTCAAAATGAACGTAAAAAAATGCTTTTGGATCAGCCAGTGAACCAAAAAATTAGCCACTGTTTCCTGGGCCTCATCTGCAGACTATTTATGACGGCCCATTGCTAGGAAGCAGCATAGCAAAAACTGCTATGTAGTGCTGATGTTATTGATGCTGAGGGAGATCGCCATCATGATGTAGGTCTCTGGGGGCAGGGCGGTGATGGTGATTACAGTGGGGCTGAAAATCCTTGAAGCTCCAGAATCAAAAATTTTGGCTAGAGATCGCAGAGCTGAAAAGAAGAGACAGGGAAGAAAAATAGCTCAATAAATAGCTCAACAAGAAGGAGATGTGTACAAGAGTCACGGGAGATTATCTCTCATGTCGATGGATTCATAAAGGAAATGGAGCTGCAGAAGAATGAATTGGGTCAGTCACTAAATCTGATGGTTTCCTGAGCACTTGGCAGAAAACAGGTTTGTCTTCAGAAATTCTCCAGGCTGTTTGGTCAAATTCATTGTGCTACGGCCTGGTTGGGGAAAGGGCCAGAGAGGCTGTTCTTGTTTCTGTTCCTGGGTTTATAACCAATCTGCTCAGTTGCTGAGATTGGCAATGTGCCTTGGTTGTGGCAAGAAGGGTTTTCGCTTGGTTTTCCCAGTCTAGGGAGCAGGGAAGTCGTCCTTTGAGTTCGGTGCCAAGTCCCCGTGCTGTAAAGTAGCTTGCCTGCCTCCGCCTTGCAAATACAATAAGCACCGTCACCAGATCCAGCGGCAAACACAGTCCCCGCTTCCTGTAGCTGGCACCTTATGCCCAAGGGGAGCCCCATTCAAGTCAATAGCACGCAGCACCATTGCAAGGGTTTGCCCATCACGGCTCAGTTGCCAAATTGGGGCCATGACTCCGTGTCAGGTGTATTCTAGCCAGCGTTTCTCAGGGTCACACGGATAAATGAAAGGGTCGCAAACAAACTGTAAAGGAGAAAAATATAAAAGAGAAAAACGTGGGGAATGGTGGCTTTTCCCTTGCAGGCTGGCAGAGCTCCTGTCTGCAAGGGGCTGCTTGGGACCCCCTAGGTCCCACACACACCCACCTCCTGCCCCACACGCTGGTCAGGGCCGGGAGTGAGGGGCACTGGGTCAGGACTGGCCATCAATGTTTCCAAATGGGTCCTGGTGCAAAAAAGGTTGAGAACCACTGGCCTAGTTTTGTTAAAGGGTGAGAGCTGTGGGGAGACCAAGACTGAACCAGGCTTTCCCTGATCACAGCATGCAGGTTGGGCTGGTCAGCATAACAAACCAAAGCCAGTTTTGGAAAGGAGTTAGCGCAGTGGGTTGCAACCTTTTTATTTGCAGACCCCAAGATTTCAAATGGAGGCACAGATCCCTTTGAATTGTGTGGTGTATTCACGTTTGATTGACCATAGTCATCTTCTGTGGACCCCCAGACATGGTCTGCAGAGCCCCACGGATTCGCAGACCACAGGTTGAAAACCACTGGGTTAGAGAACAAAGGAGTGGTAACCAGGTTCCCTGACGGCTGCATTTGTGCGGTAGGGGTGATGCTGGTCTGTGTTGCTCTTTGCTAAGCTGAGGAACTGTGCTAGATCCTGGTCAGTCCTGCTCCAGGCTCACTGAAGCACCATCTTCAAGCCATGTCCTGTGTTCAGTCTCACATCATGAGCAGTTAGATGTGTTATAAAGCCCTTCCCAGCCTTACAGATGACCCTTGTAGTACAGTTTAACAATGTGGATCTCAAAAATGGGATGAGATTTTCTGCTATGCTGCTTCCTAGCAATGGGCCATCATAATGGTCTGCAGTTGAGAGCCAGGGGAGGCAGCAACATTTGGAAACTAGCCACTGGCTCTGTGGGAGGAGCCTGGTCTTCAATTAATGCACTGGCTCAGGAGACTGTGGCTTCATTCCTGGCTCTGCCACAGGCTACGTGTGCAAGTCGGGGCAAGTCACTTGCACTTTCAAGGCCTCAGTTTTACCACCCATAAAAAAGAGATGTTGCTGCCTTTGCAAGTGCCATGAGGAGAAACACAGTAATGGTGCTCAAGCTCCCCAGGGATAGGGGGACAGGTAACCAAGAAAATAAAGTGCTCCTTTTGCACCTGGGGTCAAGGCCATTATAAGGGGTGCTCTCAAATCAGCTGCACTTGTCATGCAAAAACAAACCACTGAAAAATATCTCCCCCTCTAGTGCTTGGTCCACTTGATAACAGCCTACTAGTGCTCCCTGCTGATGGAAGACAGTCCCTTGGCTTGCGGGGTTGAATGCAGTTTGCAATGTCCTGTGTTCAAATCCTGCAGATAACCTCTGCCAGGGCCTTGTTGAATAGACAGACCCCTTCCAGTGCAGTACGTTTTGCAGGTTGTAGCAAATCCAGGGCTGCAAAGGGTTAAATCCACATTCAAAGGGAGTAGCTCTTCATGTTAAGCATGAATTTTATTAGTCATATATGAGGGGAAGATTATGTGTTTGTTCTAATGATGTCGCCTGCTATTGTCAATAAGATTACAATGCATTGTTCAATTAGACTCCTCATAAGTGGAGCTGCAAACCTCTCCAGCAGACAGACTACCTATTGGGTGAATCAGACAAAAAGTAATTTTCATCACTAACAAGATTTAAAATTAAATTGTGTTCTTTCTCCTTTCAAACTCATGACTTAAAATCTAATGCTCCCGAACTGCAGGGACTTGCTGGCTGCAGCTGGGCCAGGTATAGTGTGGGCCTGAGCAGCACCAGCTTCCACAGCTTGCGTCTCATATCTGAACTGTCCTCAGGAGAGCAGGATGCATGTATGTGATATAGGTGTAGGACTGTAAGGCATATATGAGGACAAAAAAAGGAGTTTGGGAGTAATGGAGGTCTAGACAGCTCTGTCTAATGGGGAAGGTGCTCGCCTGGCCTTGGGGAGCCCTGGATTATATTCTAGGTAGCAGTTCTACTACTCATCGATTGTGTAGGGTGGAATTAGCATCACATGTAGGATCCTAAATCCACTAGTGACTTCTAGTTAACATAAAACCACTGTAGAACAGGCTGTCGGGACAAGCTGTTAAGTGCGAAATCAGCCATGTGCTGACTAGGTCTCTGCAACATGCCACCCACCCTATGCAGAAGCAGCCAGGGAGCAGAGTCAGTTGTTGGCCCTAAAGTTGACAGGGCAAGGAGCATGCTCAGAAGACCGCGTGAGCTGGCAGAGAACCAGCCTGGTCAAGTTTATGTGCAAGTGAGACAGGGATTGGAGATGAGTCTCCGGTATGTGGACCAAAGATGGACCCAGGTAGGTCAGAGCAAAAGTTAAAGGAGGACTGAAGATGCAGGCTTTTGAGACTTCTTTGCCCATGTGCCTAGGCAGGGTCAAAATTATTTGTTGGGAGGGAAGAGACCAGGCTCTATACTCCATGCATGTGTAATTTATGTTGTCAAACCTGACCCAGAAGCCAGAGCCTCCCACCCCTGCTCTTCTGAGAAGGACCAAGACCTTACGAGACCGGAGGACCACGTTCTAATCCTGCTCTCGGGGTTCTCCGCCACTGCCTTGCCGGGTGACCCGGTCCCTCTCCTGCTCTGTGTCCCAATTCCTGCAGCAGTAAAATGAGGACAAAGGCGTGTTATCTCAGAGGTGGTGTGAGCCAAATGGGAATCCATGCCTGGTAGGTGCCTGGCACTCTCAGGCTGTGCCTGCTGGCAGACCCTTCTGGTCCATGGAGTTGTGGGGCCAGCGGTGGGAGTCTGCGTCAGCCTTGCCCCTTGGAAACCGTGACTGTGCCTCTCCGTCTGAGTATCAGAGCTAAGCTTGTCAGCCTGACTGAACTGTGTGGTTGCTGGAGGTGGGATACACCTGGCTGTTCATTCATCCAGCGCAGGTCATTGTCTGCTTTTTCCTGTATGCTCAGAACATGTCCCCTTTGCCTTCCAGCTGTCAGCTGCCCCCCCAACAGCCACTACGAGAGCTGCGTGTCCGTGTGCCAGCCCCGCTGTGCTGCCATCCGGCTGAAAAGCGACTGCAATCATTATTGCGTGGAGGGGTGCCAGTGTGACCCTGGCTATGTCCTGAATGGCAAGAGCTGTATCCTTCCCCACAACTGCGGCTGCTACTCAGATGGAAAATATTATGAGGTAGGATTGTCGTCCTCCTCTTCCTCCTCCTCGTCCTCCTTTCTGGCTAAGACATATACTTGGAGATGTGGGGGAAGGAGGGAAGTCTTTCACCAACATAACCGTGTAGACACATTCAACAAAGACAAAGTGACTTACCTCTTTGTGACTTGTCTCTGTGTAAATCACTTTTTGCCCTTGTGCAGCATATACACACTGGAGGTTTAAGCCAGAGCATCTGCATCAGTGCAGAAACCAAGCCAAGCCCAGGACTAAATTCTCATTTACACTAAGGCATTTGGTTACGCTATCGCAAGCAGCATAAAACACTAGGAATAAATGAGTACTGGAGGCAGTCTGTGTATCATGGCCCACCTTTTCTCCCTTTCTCCCCTTTGCTTTCCAGTAAGAATCCCCTGATGGCTCTGCATCTCTTGCTCTTAGCTAACTTCTTTTGGATGGATGGAGGGGTTGCATCTCAATGACGGCACCTTCAAGGAGCTGCTCTTGCCTTTCTCTGAGCAGGAAGGGAGAAAAAAAGGAAGTTGACTCTCAGAGCAGACAGCACAAATTATGGTGCTTTTCTTCCCCAAACAGCCTGTGGAATTGGGTAATAAACGGTTCCCAAACAAGAACAAAACAGACACAGAGAATGGAAATGCGCTCCATCTGCTCTGGTTTTTATGCCCTTTGTTGCCTTCTAATTGGAGAGGGCCCTGTTAGACTTCAGTTCAAAACAAGGGAATTCTTTTCTGTCTTTGCTTCTGGCTCCGTGGGAGGGTGAAATCTTCCTGGAGGATAATTTGTGGGTACATTTAACAGCTTCCCCCTCCTCTGCTAGCTGCACCACTGGCACAAGAACGCAGAGAGAGTTTTCTCTGTCGTTTTCTGGAGAATGATCCCAGCATAATTAATAACACAATGTATTTAGCTATATAATTCTTCACGTTATGTAATATTAATCAGCTCTAATCCTTGCAAAGGAACAACAAATTCTTAATAATGAATTAAGAATTTCAGCCTGGCGCACAGTAAAAGCACAATCCAATGAAACTTTAATTGGTCTGGTATCATTTGCATGAACCGGTGATGTCGGTTTTCCCTTTCCTTCACCCATGCAGTTCTCTTGACTTCAGGGGACTTAGTCTCTCTTTACAGTTGAGTAAAATAGAGAAGAGGGTCAGGTTCACATCTCTACTAGAAATTATAGGGTTAAAGTAATAAACAGTGGAGGACGTAGGAGAATCTGGAGGGAAGTGAGAGAAGTTTTCAGATGAGAGATGGCATGAGGGGGGCCGAGGTGGAGGGATGCAGGGGAGAAGGCTCTCATGCCTTGAGTTTGTGAAGGGCCGTGGATGGTTTTCTGCTGGGACGTAGCAAAACGATACCATTCATTGGCCAAAAGCCTAGGGCGCCCCCAATGCAGCTGGGAGCGGGTGGTACCAGCGCTCGCCCCACCAGGCCTCGTGGACCATTGTGCTGTTGCTGGCATTCAGTTTCTCTGCTGTCACTAATAAGCACTTCTTTTCAGTGGCTTGTCACTCGCATCATTTTCTTCTCCTCTAAGGCTTAAATTAGACATGAGAGTTGGTTGGCATCTCTCAACACACTCAGCCCCAAACAGGGCGTGCGCTGAGCAATAAAACAAGAATCGTTCCATCAGGAGAGGTAAAAAGTTAACACTGACAGCTCTTTCTGTGGCTTCTGCGTATCGATTTTGCATTTCTGATGGAAGTGATTTTTCACAGGGAGAAGGGCCATCATGTTTGCGCACAACATACAGAAGTGTCAGACTAAAATGAGGGTGTTTGAGAGGGGCGTGTTTGGCCTTGGAGTAATTACTTTCCTCCAAGGAAAGTACCAAGCCAGTTGGGATATATTTATACGTATAAGTTGTGTATATGTGGTTTAGAAAACAAACCTTCAGTGGTTGAGTGGATGGGGACCAGAAGCCAGGACTCCTGGCTTCTATTCCTGTCTGAGACTGACTCTGCCTAATCTTGAGAAAATTGCCTAGGGCATGGGCAAAATGATCAAACTGCAGCCAAGGCAGCCATCGAGCAGTAACTGCCTGTCTGCCAGGTCTTGCCCTAGGGCGAACAAAAGCAGCTCATATGAGCTTGTACATGCTGCTCCCCTTTGGACCCGGGGAAGGACTCGGTTGTTCTAGTTATAGAGACCGGACCCTCCAGTCCTGGCTTTTCAACATGGCTGTGACACACCCATTACACGTGTATTGCACAACATTGCAGGCATGTTTTGCACACTTCCCATCTGCACGCAAGGGAGATAACTTGCAACCTTTACATGCATGAAGAAAGGAGGTCGTAGATCCACTGGGCAGCGTTTAACATGCCCAGGTGACTGTGCCCAAAAGTACACAGGTGGGTTTGAGTGTGGTGGCCTCACAAATGGAGCTGTAGATTACAGTCTCACCTCGGGGTGATTAATGCAGCCGTGGAGTGTTTGTTGCACTGAAGTCATCCTAGGGCAGGCTGCTTCTCGAGAAAGATGGCTTGTTTACGAGCTGTTTTTATCCAGAGTCCTGTGGTTGTTTTTCTCCTTCAAAAAAATGTGGTGTCTAAGTTCTTATCAGAAGTGAAGAATACCTGTATGTTCAATTATACTGGAAATCTGATACAGGGGCTTTAAGTCAATTTGTGTTCTGCTGGAACAGTACAAAAAAGTGGCCAAAGGGATGGATATTTATAGCGCTATAGTTTTGAGAGAGATGGGAGAGGTTGCTGTGGAAACTGCAACTTCAGATTTGCCTTACTTTTGTGGCTTGCAAGGCTTTGGCAAAGGTGCATTTCTTGGATTTATCTTTTTTTGTATTATTATTATTGGCTCCTAGTTCACGGAGTCCATGAAAAGTGAAAGCCTGCAGCTGGATTTTTAAAAGGGCCGGACAATTTTAGGATGATTAATTACTGTGGTGGCTCTGAAGCAGGCTAATTAAATCTCATGGTTCAGGGCCTAAGAGCACCCCAGGAGTCTGTCCTCTGGATAGTACTATGCAATTGGTATTACAGAGCTCGCCCTCCCCCTCCATCGTCCTCCCAACTATCAGGCATTGGCCATGTCCGGCAGTGGAGTATTGGACTGGAGATATTAGTGGTTTGATTTGAGATTGCATATATGTGTCACCGCTGCCCTTCTTGGCCAAAGGGTCAACTGTGCCTCAGAAACTGCCTTGGCAGGTCCGGTGGGCTGAGCCTGCACGCTCACTGTACGCCCAGAGGCCCCAGTGATGGGCACCCAGCTGAAGACAGTAGGCTCATCCATCTAGTGACATGGCTCTTCTTTGTGCTTCCTCCTTTTTAGCCCAAGCAGCTCTTTTGGAACAGCGACTGCACCCGGCGCTGCCGCTGCTTCCGCCGCAACCTCATCCAGTGCGACCCGCGGCACTGCAAGTCGGATGAGGAGTGTGCCCTGCGCAATGGTGTCCGCGGCTGCTTCAGCACCAAGAGCTCCTACTGCATCGCAGCGGGCGGCGGCGTCTTCCGGACCTTTGACGGAGCCTTCCTCCGCTTCCCAGCCAACTGCGCCTTCGTCCTGTCCACCATCTGCCAGAAGCTGCCCGACTTCTCCTTCCAGCTCATCATCAACTTTGACAAGTGGTCATCCCCCAACCTCACTGTCATCTCCCCGGTGTATTTCTACATCAATGAGGAGCAGATTCTCATCAGTGACCGGAACACTATCAAGGTTAAGTGCTGGGGTTTTTGGAGGGGAGGCAGAGGAGTGCCTGACCCCCCAGAGGCAGGGCCATGCTGGGATCATTCCAAGTGGAAAAAGCCAAGACAAAGAGTCTTGTGCCACTTCCCATGGTTGATGCATCTGAGCTTCTTCCCCATGAGGTAGATTGGCCCTAGATAAAGCCCAAATGGAGTTCAGAAAGTTTCCAGTTCCCTCTCCATCTCAGGTGATGAGAAGCTCTTCTCAGGGGAGGGTATGGTGGATGTGAATGTCGTTCTCTACCTAGTGAAGAAATGCAACCACATAGAGGAGTGTTAAAGAGCTTCTTCACAGGGTCTGTGTCCCACACATCACCTTGAGGCAAATTTGAGTCCGAGTCTGGGTCCCGCTGGTGTGTACCATTCGTGCTGTGGTAGCACTTCAGGCCAAGCCTTGCCCTGCATTATACTAAGTGCTGGGCGAACACGGAGCAAAAAGATGGTTCCTGTGTCTGAGACCTCACAATCTAAACAGCAATGAAATTGCCTGGTTTTACGAGGGAAATGGCCTCCTCTTAGTTTCATTTTGGAGGCCCCAAAAACTCCAAAGATAGCAGGAAAAAGGAAGAATGGGAGTGGGGGTAATCATGGCCTTTCCCAGCTGGCTGTGGCAACACACAGAGATGGTGCAGCGCACCTTTGTTGGACCATGTCCCTGCTGGGCACAATCTGCCCCAAAGGTGCAGAGAGGTGAGCAGTTCCTGCACTGTCTCTTTCCTCGACTAGGTGAACGGCAGCCAGGTGAGCATCCCTTTTGTCACCGGGCTGTCAACCAAAATCTACAGCATGGAGGGTTTCCTGGTGATTGACTCCAGCCCCGACATCCAGATCCACTACAACGGCTACAACGTCATCAAAATCAGCATCAGCGAGCGGCTGCAGAACAAAGTGTGCGGCTTGTGCGGCAACTTCAACGGGGACCGGACAGACGACTATGTCACCCTGCGAGGGAAGCCGGTGGTCAGCAGTGTAGTGCTGGCTCAGAGCTGGAAAACCAATGGCATGCAGAAGAGGTGAGCATGAATCTGAGCGCACAGACCCAGTTGAGGCCTTGTTCTGGCTCCAACTGAGTCAGTGAGACCTTTGCCATACATCAGCTGGAGTTCAAGGTGTGCAGGGAATAGTCTGGATTTCCAAAGGGTCCCTCTGCCCTATTATCTGGCACCTGACACAGTGTTCCTTGTATCCACAGTTAACAGGTGGCACAAACAGTTATCTTTTAGATGGCTGAGTATGTAGGAGCAACTCAGAGTTAGCCTAAAGGAATTAGGCATTTAACTCTCACTGAATTCCAATCAGCGATGGCCACCAAAATCCCATAAGTCCCTTTAAGAATCCAAGCTCAAGAGGCGAGGATGGGGTTTTTAAAATGGCAGACCCATTGCTCGAGTCAGCCAGTGTGTTTGTTTGAATGTCCCACTGAGAAGTGAGGATGCAAGTAATGAAGATGCCAACTGCATGCACATGACGTGCCTTTTAAGACCTGGCACTTCTCCATGATTAGCAGTGAATCAGTCCTTTGGAGGTGGGGATGGGTCAAGGAATACGCATGTCAGTCTCTGGGTGAAGCAGGGCTTGAGGGGTCCCCACAGTCCTTGTTATTGGCTTTCTGCACAGAGGAAATTTCATCTTAGATCCATAAGATACAATGGAAGGAGAAAAGCAGCCAGGAAATCAGTGGAGAGCCCGACATTTACTCAGGACGTGATAAGGCAGAAACGTACAGGGCACCTGAGTATCGTCCTCACATCGAGCTGTTTGTGGCTTCACCGCAAACCTGGGCTCACGGCCCAGCGTGTCTCACTGATCCCAGCACGTCATCCCACTGATCTTGCTGATGTCTTCTTTAATCCCCTGCCCACAGCTGCAACGAGCTGCAGTACTCGCAGTACGCTGCAGCTTGCGACAACGTGCAGATCCAGAAGCTGCAGAGCGACAGCTACTGCCTCAAGCTGACGGACATGAAGGGCTTCTTCCAGCCCTGCTATGGGCTTCTGGACCCTCTGCCTTTCTACGAGTCGTGTTTCCTCGACGGCTGCTACAACCAGAAGAAGTACCAGCTCTGCGGCTCCCTAATCGCCTACGGGGAGGCCTGCCGTTCCTTTGGGATCCTTGGCACTGAGTGGATTGAAAAGGAGAATTGCTGTAAGAGAGCTAGGCTAACCTTTTTCTGTGCCTTGGGATTTGCTGCCTAGTACTTAGCAGTTCCATTCCTCCACTGTATCCAGCTTCATGATGGGTGTTATGTGGGGTAGGCCAAGATTGAATGAGTTATTTGTTAATATTAGCCCATATCGTGATAGACTTTCTTTCTCTGGAATCAGCCCTTTACTAGGTAAGGCCTTTTTGAGCAGTGCTGCTAAGTGGTCATGTGAAGGACACTAGTCAGGCCCCAAGAAGTCATGAGATGGGCTGAAAAATCATGAGGCTGAACCACAAAACAAAATGCTTTGATATTAAGACAGTGGGTCCCTTTGCTCTGTGCTCCCAAGGATGTAAGGTGCACTTGCTTCAGGCGTCCCAGAATTTTTTCTGCAGCCATGAAAGCAAGAAACTACCTTATAAACAATAACGCTGAGGTGTTCATTGTTTTCCAGACTCCAAGAGCTGGGGCTCTAAGTGAATCATCCAATATCACCAGAATTGGGGGGCTGGACCCAGTGATCTGTAAGGTCCCTTCCAGCCCCTAACAACTATTAAACTGTGAATTGTTGCAAAATCACCAAAACTGGCACTGCTCTGCAGGTCTAGTGTGTGATAACGAATGGCCCAGGTACTGGTCTGTAAATCATGCTGTTGTTCTCGTCTCTCTTCTCCTTTTTAGCAGGAGTGGTTGAAGACCCCTGTGTGGGAGCCGACTGTCCCAACAGGAGCTGCGAGATGGACAATGGTGGGGAACTGTGTGGTTGCATTGAGCCTCCACCCTACGGAAACAGTGAGTGACCATGATAACAGCATCTCTTGCCATGCCACAGTTCAGGAGGTTAAGTGGGAAGGCCGGCTTCTGGGGCTCATGAACTTAACTGAGTTAGAAAACAAACTCAGCTGAGCCTTTCATGTCTATATGTAATTCAAATGAGACTGCTACTTCAGCAACCCATTTCCACTCAGGCCCACCTCTGAGACTACACACCAGAGGGGAAAAACACTTAGGTGGGGAAGGTGCCAAAAGACTTGTCTGTCAAGTCCTTTGGGGTCTAATCATGGCTCTGGCACTGGCTTGCTGTGCAACCTCAGGGAAGTTGCACCCTATGCCTCATGTTTCCTATCTGAAGAGCGAGGCTAAAGCTTCTTCAGAGGGTGCAGTGGAAATGAGGCCTCCCATGTTTGTAAAGCACAGCAAGATCTTCAAAAGGATGCTGTTCTACAAGAGGAAAGCATGGCCAGATTAATCTGTAGCTCCCAATGTCTCCGACTTCATCTCAATTATAGTCCCACAGGTGCAAGCAAAGACATTCTTTAGGTATATGAAACCAACTGAAAATAGAGAAGCCCTTGAAACCATTGTTCAGCTCCTACCCTCCGTAGGCTTTCATCTCTTCATCATGGAAATCAGCTGGTGTAAAGTGGTGTAGTAATAGAGACCTTGGGTTTTATGTGAATTCATGCCAGCTGAGGATCCGACCTCAGAATCAAACAGACCTACTAATTTATCTAGTCTGTCCTCCCAGGGGCTGACACGGGAGCACTTCCCAAGGTATACTTTTGCCTGGCCGTGTCTTTGGCTTGCCAGGAGCCCCAGGGCCTCACATCATTTCCATACAAATGTGCATACATTTTTCAAAAAAAATCAAAAATCAATTTTGCACCGTCCTCCCCTCCGCGATCAATGAATATAAATTGCTTGTCAGCTAGGCTCGCTGGCAATGAAAGCCTCCTCGGCATTGCTCCTCAGTGACAAGATGCAGAATGAGGAGGGAGTAGTTATCTCAAGGAAGAGGGTTCCCAGGCATTTGATGTGAGGACTTTGTGACAGCTACATTTGACTTTTCTTCTGCCCTGTGGGTGAGCCCCCCTCCCAGCCTGGAGTCTTATAATGGCACAAGACATGCAACATGTGATCAGTCTAATTTAGGAGCGAATGCAAGACAAGAGAGCGAAGAGTCAATGAGAGACAGTTTCAGTCCTCAACTGAAAGCAGCCTTCCCAAAGGGCAATGCTGTGAAAGTAGAGGCAGGGAGGGTTATCCAAAGCCTCCCTAGATTAGCTTCTAGGAAAAAATGTTGCTCTCCAAAGCCACCCATGCCAGTGTTGGGCACCAAGCAGTGCTGTACCCTTCTCCCACAGATATTAGATGTATAGAAGCAATGTCCAAAGTTCTTCCTAGTAATACCTTTTGGGCCCTCTGATACACCTTCCACCTGAGGACCTCACAACATGTGACAGATGTTACTGTATAAATGAAATATTATCTCCATTTTAGACACGCAAGGGAACGGAGGCCCAAAGCATTTGAGTCACCCAATACACCTCCAGTACAGCTGAACAAAACGATCCCAAGAGTCCTGACAGTGCAGCTCCACAATTTAATTACATCTCCATCCTTTCCCGAGAGCCAAGGAGAAAGACAGCTCAAGCTGCCGAGGCGCCAAGTACCTTTAGGAAGCATTAGCAAATGCTCTCGCTGTGCCGTCGCCAGCCTGGCTGGAGCAACGATGCAGAAGAGCAGCCTGCTCATAGGCACGTCAACAGGGACTTGGACCCGTGGAGTATATAGATGAGGCCACATACTGGGTGTGATCGCAGCAGCTCTGTTGTGGCTTCACACCAGTGGAGCCAGTAATATATGCAGACGCACACTCCAATGCACCAGGCATTTCCATCTTAATGAAGTTACACATAATCTGACTTGCTCAGTTTTGTACAAATAATGAAAGCTTCGTGGCAGCACAAATAACATTCCCTTAAAAAAATGACTCCAGAAAGGAGCCTTAGGGGGAAAAGAGTCCAGGGGTGGGTACCAGCAGGTGTCTGGGGAGGCCTGGTTTCTGGTTTCCATTTCTCTGACTCACTGGGTGATGCTGTGCAAGCCGCTTCCCTCCCTTCAGCCTCAGTTTCTTCCTCTATAATACTAAGTGTATTACATAGCTTATAAACTCTTTGGGGGCAAGGACTGTACAGGACACGAGGGGCAGGGGGAAGAGTGAGAACAGGAGTTGTCCTGGCCCATGATAGCAGCTGAAACATAAATGAAAAATCTGCAACTTGGTTGAACATAGATAGACCTTTTCATTATAAAAGATGCCAAAGTGCTTGCACTTTACAGACACCAGTGACACGCAGCCACCTCTGGGTAGAAGGTAGCAGCCAAATTTAGATGTAGAGGACCCCGGTGAAGACCTCATTACCATTACGAAAACTATCCTGGGAGTTTCTACCACAGCCCAGCATCCAGGGACTAGTAAATGCTGTGGGAGTTGGTCTAACTGCCTTGGAAAGATGGAGTGTCTGAGTCATGCCTGGCAAGATTTGGACCACTGTTTTTAGGGAATCGCATCTAAACTATCATTTCTCTAAATTGCCTGTCACTGTGGTGCCAGAGCACTAATCCATCTGGCGCTTAGACCATGGAGTCATCTCCTCAAGCGCTATTACTCTTCCTTTGGTGGCAAGTCTTCCGCCCCAGTATACGCAGGGGAGATGGTATCTCCCTCTTCACTCGGAAGCTTGTCCTTTGAGTTGAGACAGACCATGCTTTGTCTGAGCCAGCACCCCACAGCAAGCTGCAATGGGAAGTGTCAATGCATGGCACCTTCAAGGCAGAGGCTCACGCAGCCAATGCAAAAGCGGCATGCCAAAAGAACTGAGGGCATGTGGGCACAGTCTGCACCCACAATGTGACATGCAGGCCCAAATCTCAGCTCTGGTCCTCTAGCTGCCTCCTTTGCATGTGCAATTCAATGTGAAGTGCAAAACAGCAGATGCAAATGGAGCCTACAGAAGGGAGCTCAGCTTTCTGCACTTTGACCTTTTCTGTTCTTGTCTCCCCTAACAACTGTGGGTTTCATGGCTCATTTTGCATCCAGGTTTAAAATTCAGAAGGGCCTGAATTCTAGGACCACCGGGTACAGTAGAGAGGAAGGCCTGAGATGCACAACTGTCTCCAGGTCTGGATCTGAATGTGTCAAAGCTGGGAGGGTGGGTGGCCCGTGTTCTGGTGCTCTCCTTTATAAATCTTTTGCTGGTCATGTTTGCCAGTTCTCTACTTCCTAATGCTGATGTCCACACAGGGTCTTCTCCTGGTTGTCCAGGCTTGACTTTTCAGCACTTTTTTTAAAACCACTCCTTTATTTCTCCTAGACTCCCATGACATCATTGATGCAGAAGTGACCTGCAAAGCCGCACAGATGGAGGTCTCCATATCGAAGTGCAAGCTCTTCCAGCTGGGCTTTGAGAGGGAAGGGGTGCGCATTAATGACCGCCACTGCCCAGGCATCGAAGGAGAAGACTTCATCTCCTTCCAGATCAACAACACCAAGGGGAACTGTGGAAATATTGTGCAGGTGAGAAGAGCTGTGCATGTGGAGGAGTGGGGAAGGCAGCCAGCATTTAATGGTCCATTGTTATAAAGTAAATGTTGCTGGAGTGATATGTGGAAACATACGCCTTGGAACCGAACCAAACAGCACACAGGAGCATAAAAGAAATGAGTGTGAGAAACACACAGGCAGTCATTTTAGTGTCAGGTTTATTATTTGAACTCAGATGTCACAATGACTGAATAATGCTTCAGTGCCTCATTAAATTATATTAAGGGTTGATCACACACTTTCTTTCCAGGGCATGGGGTATTTTTCTCTAGCTGTGTGTTGTAAAAGGCAGCTCCAAACTTTTGTGTGTGCATGGCATGAGAGAACAAGGATGATTCCTCTGGTGTGCCATGCAAATTCTAGACTGGACGCTTGTTCTCTGCCTAGTTACAGCTCCCTTTTAATGCCACTGAGATGTGGCATTCTTGTGTGTTGTTAAACAGCCATTGTTTTGTATTCCAAAAGTGCATGCATTTTAGTGGAGGGTTACTGGTATCCTGAGGGCCCTCCATGATGAAGGATGCTGTTATAAATTTAAAATGTATATTTTGTGCTCAAATTTACTTTCTGGAGAGGATGGATGAAAGCTGACTCTTTATTAACTACTACTGCCTTGTGCACAGACTCCAGTAGGGAATCGTGGCCCTGTTGCATCAGGTGCTGCACAAATGTAAAATAAAAAGATATCCGGGCCTGCCAAGCAGTTTACAATCTGCCTGCAATTATTTAATACACAGTGACTTTGTTCTACTATTTTCAGGGGAGAGAAGTGGGATTGTAATGACTGCATTGACCCATTAATAGAAAAATAATGTCATCTTTTTTTCTTGGTCTCCTGCACAGTCCAATGGCACCCACATCATGTATAAAAACACTGTCTGGATTGAGAGTGCAAACAATACTGGAAACATAATCACCCGGGACCGAACCATCAATGTGGAGTTCTCATGCGCATACGAGCTGGATATCAAAATTTCTTTGGATTCAGTCGTGAGGCCAATGCTTAGGTAAGAGTGGCTTTTGACTGCTTTGTATGTGCATGTCTGCATGCGCATAGATCTAGTGCTGGTCCGAGAGCCCCCCAGACTGTCTTCGCTGTTTAGCCTGAGAACTTGGAAGTAACTTAATTCCTGCTAGTAGTATACTACAGTGTGGGTAGGTCATTTCTGGAACAGCCTATGCAGGGAATGTGGTTGATTCTCCACGACTAAAGGTTGGATTCTTTCCACCTTCTAAAAAGTGTGTTCTAGCTTAACAATCAGGTATTGGCTTGATGCAAGAATCACTGAGCAAAATTCCTGGGGGAAGGAGGACACACTAGATGATCACAGTGGTCTTTAACATTTCTGAATGCTCAGAATAGGAAAAGCAGGGGTGGGAAAACTCGTAGGGATTTCTACAACCCATCTAGGCCTTGGCCTCCATTGGAAGACTGCCAGTGAATGCTATCAACATTGCCAGTTGTTGAACAGAGACCATCAAACCATCCTGTTGGCTGGTAGCAGTCTTCAGCCATTTCAGTCAAGCTGTATTCTGGATCCTGTTTTCTGCTCTGGGAACACCTGCCTTTCCCTGTGTTCAGATGCTACTCTCCTTGCTGGTTTCTCATGAGCTGTGCTTCCCCCCTTCAGTGTGATTAACTTGACAGTCCCAACCCAAGAAGGCAGCTTCACAACCAAGATGGCCTTGTACAAGAACTCCTCCTACAAACACCCCTACCGCCAGGGTGAAGTGGTGCTAACTACCCGGGACGTGCTATACGTGGGGGTCTTCGTCGTTGGAGCAGATTCAAGCCACCTGATTCTAACGCTGAACAAGTGTTATGCAACCCCTTCTCGGGACAGCAACGACAAACTGAGATACTTCATTATTGAAGGAGGGTAAGTGGCGTCTAACAACGCCTTTCTCTGCCTTTCTTTTGCTACCCAAGTTTGCTGGCTGGTGTAAAGCACTGAGGACAACAAGGTCCCTTCATACCAGCTAACAACCTGGCTCTTTGCACTTTAGGAGTGTCATTTCCTTCCCAGCAGTGTGTGCCAGTGCCAGCATAGATGAATCACTGATTTGTGCTTCCGTAGCCATGCTTGCCATCCCCAGGGTGTCACAGTGAGGTGCATAATCTAAAAAAAAAAAAAAATCACTAGAATTGTGGCTTCCAATGATTTTCAACTGGTGGCCCACTGTCAACCCTCAGCATTTCTCATTATCATCACATGTTTAATTGCAAAAAGGGCAGGGCCCAGTGCAATGTATAGCCCATGTGCTGTGGTCAGTGTTCTGGCGCTACTGCTCCAGAGAGGAGCTGCATTTGGCTTTCTCTCACTGCCTGTAGTGATGTAGACATTGAAGTCCACAGTACCCCCTAAGTAAGCAGATGTTTGCATATGCTAATACACCATGTTAGAGGATGGATCCTGGGTGATTCAGTGTGGGAAGGAATTGTCATGGTTTTAAGATTTTTGCCACCAACCCTGTGAGCTGTTGCTGCTAATAATAATAATGGGATTTTTTGCACTGATATAGCACTTGTCAACCAAGGGTAGCTAGGTACTTTACAGGGTGGCATTGTCCTCATGTCAGAGGTAGAAATGGTCGTTCAAAGGTAGGAAGCCTTGAAAGTTCAAGGTTGTTCATAAATCTCGGTTGAGCTCACAGAGCTGCTGTGGGGAAAAAGGGGTCAACTCTCCCCCTCCCCCCCCCCAAAAAAGAACAGGTCCCAAATGTTTCAAGTTGGATATATAAATTCTTCGTTTCCATGTAAGTTAATCACCAGGATGAAGGGCGTGGCTTGGAAGGTGTCTCATTCAATATCCAGCTCCATCTCTGACTCCTTGTGTGACCTTGGGCCACATCACGTTACTTCTCAGTGCTTCAGGGGTGTTGCAAAGCAGAATTAATTCATGCTGTAAACACCAAGATCCTTGGATGAAAGGGGCGATGAATAGTAATTCAAAGTTAACAACTTGACAGAACAATCAATAAGAATCAATTTATTGCATCACTGCAGTAGCCAGCAAAAGTGGGGGGAAGGCTGGACTAAGACATGGACTCGAGCTGCCAAACTGGGGTTTGGATTCTGGACCCCAAGGAGGGTTCATAAGGGGGAGTTCATGCTCCTGTCATATAAACACCAAGGAACAGCTAGAGCAAAGGATCACTTGGTTAGTCTACAGATGTGACCACAAACTCTGCAGGATGGATTAAAGCTCACACCTGTGTCTGGACCCTGCTGAGCCTCTGCGTTTCCTCCTAGTTGCCAAAATATTAAGGATAACACCATTGGGATTGAGGAAAACGGGGTGTCTCTGACCTGCCGTTTCCACGTCACCGTCTTCAAGTTCATTGGGGACTATGATGAAGTTCATCTCCACTGTGCTGTCTCGCTCTGTGACTCAGAAAAATACTCCTGCAAAATAGTAAGTAGGTGTGGGCTTACTCCTTTGCCCACAGCAGTGTCCATGCACACAAACTTCCACTGCAACGTGGCAGCAAACCTGTTCTTTTCCACGGGGCTTATTACTGTTTCTCCCCACAATGCCAGGGCTACCCCAGTAGAAGGATGCTGAATGGCCTCCCAAAATGCTGCCCCCTTTTTGTAACCAGCAGAAGTAAGAGCGCTGGGGAAAGGGCTGAATTTATGGTGCTAATCTCAAACCACTCGTTCAGTGGGGGTGCTGCAACTGAACTCAGTGGGAGCAGGATCGAATGCAATGTTTGAGCAGATCCAAGACAGGCCCTCGGTACCCGCGGCCCCTTTGCAATAACCCTTCCTTGCCTTTCCGTGCGTTCAGAACTGCCCTCAGAGTTCCAGGAGTGCTGCTGATTTTACCAAAGAGCCCAAGGAGCAGATCATCTCGGTGGGGCCCATCCGGAGAAAGCGTAAGTCTGCGTGGGGTTAGAGACGCGGAGGAGATCCTTACCCCCTCTCGGCTTCTGCCGAAAGCAACTGATTGGTTTCACTCTAGTCTGCCTCAGTTTTACTTTCTGGTTCTTAACACTAGCTTTCTCTGCCCCTGTTACTCTGTGTATTGCTTTGTAGGAGCAAATCCTTCAGGGAGCCGCTTCCTCTCCTTTTCATAGTTCTCAAGAGATGCTTTTCCCATCTTTTGTGTCCACCCATTCTCCCTGTTATCCTACCTATATCTAAAGCATCTGCTGCCCTGGTTTAAATGTTTAATGGCACCTCAGTAGCATTTTCTGGGCAGTTCAGGACTTGGGAGTCCAGCTGGAGGCATTCACATCCTCATTGCTGGAAGCACTGAGCACTTGCTGCCCACATGGTGGTAATTCCTAGCAGGCGCTAAAAGCTCAGAGCTCATTTTCATTAGACCTCTTCTTAGTTCCCCGTTCTCTTGCCTCTACTCATCTCCACTGCCCCATCACCTGCTGGCAGGAAGCTGATCTTCATGCAATGATTTGGAGGTCTTTACCTGGCCCATGGCTAGCGGGGATTGCACTGGTCTTTGCTCAGTTGTTTGTGAGACAGGGAGCAGAGCGTTATCAGTGCTTTTAGTAGCAGATCCTGAAAAACGCACAGCCAGGAGTTGTCTAAATCCATGCAGCGAGCAGGGCTTCCAGGAGGTAAAATGGTCCTTTCAAGAGAGTAAGCTCTCTGCTGTCCTTTTCCCTATGGTTCTGATGCAGTTTGGAAGGGTTTTCTCCCACAGGGGCCTACTCGCTCTTGACTGCTTCCTTCTGTTTCAGGGTTAGACTGGTGTGAAGATAACGGAGGCTGTGAGCAGATCTGCACGAGCAGGGTGGATGGGCCCCTATGTAGCTGTGTAACAGGAACGTTGCAAGAAGATGGCAAGAGCTGCAGAGGTGATTACGCAGAGGGGCACTGGGGGAGTGGCCGTGCTCAAGGGTGCAACCACATCCATGGCTAAAAGCTCAGTCCCCATGAAAAGGTGGAGAATGAGCTTCCTATGTTTTAGCCAATATCCTCGTGGTTAGGCTATCCTGAGCCTGAATTTATGCCTCTATGAGTTGTTAGCATACTGCTCTAACCACTGGGCTACAGGGTAGATGGGAGGAAGGTGTTCTCTCCATCCCACCTCTTAAAGCTGAGCCACTGCATCCTGCAGTTAATAAGTACTAGTGGATGGGAAAGGAAGGGGGCTAAACTAGAACTCATAACTCGCTGCTTCCTATTACAGTAGTGAGCTCGCTAAGCCACAAGTGCTAGTTGGTGTGGCTTCTCCTAGCCTGACATTAACTGGCTGCCCAGGGGTCCACTTCAGAAGGAGGACTGGAGAGGTTACTGAGGAGCGTTTAACTTGTGGCCTAGTGGCTGGAGCATTGTATAAGACAGTCAGAGAGGCTCAGGTTTAAAACCAACCTCTTCTGACACCTGTTCATCGTCTTGTTTTGCTACCTACCGCTGTGCATCTGCACTGCATGTGGAACAGGACGCTAGCAGCAAACAACCAACCCACGGCTGGGGAAGGGGCACGTGGGTGTGTGCAGTGACACAGGGCCCTGCCCCTTGGTGCTTCAGTTAGGTGCAAAGTCAGCAGCGCTGAGCACCCCAGTTCTTGCTCTGAAGTTGATGGGCACTCAGGGGCCCAGCACCTGTAAGAAATCAGGTCCTTGGAGGCTATAGCTGGGACCCAACAGTTTGAAAGCATTTAAATGCATCAGTCATCTCTGTTAACACCTGGGTGAGGGAGGGTGGCAGGCAACTTGCTGGATGAGGGATTCTAGTAGATGGGAAGTGTGGTTATCCTCCAGCCAGGCCTATTAGCCACAGGCGCTGGCTCTTCCCAAATTTGCAGCTCTGTTAAATAATGCAGCCTTTGCTTATTCTGAACTGTGGGCTTATGATTTTTCAACATTGTCCTCTGTCTGTCTGTCGTTCTAGCCTCCAGCTCTTCCATTGAACCTCAAGCCTGGCTAATTCTTCTCGTCATAACTCAGCTATCATTATGGCGTTTTGTCTATAAATCAGACCTGACCTCATAATTAATTCAAGCCTTCTATTTAAAGTACTGTAATTTACTTACTCTAAATCCCTGTAGGATAAAAGCATGTCCCCCTAACTCTCAGCCTGTACATGAACAACAACAACAAAAGCTTTTAACTATTGCAGTGCTGAAGCTGGTTGCCTGTTAAAGCCATTTCACTGACATTACAAGCTATGTTTTATGCTGGAGGCAATAGCAGCCACGATGGGGAATTACAGGACCCAGACGCTCGCCTGAAACGAAGCCACAACATGCGTTTGTGCACATGCCACATTTGACCAAGATTTCCCCATGGCCTCCGGCCTGCACTGGCTTCTCCTCTTCCCATACTCGGTCCAAACAACTTCACCACTGCCACCACGCGCGATAGTCCCTCTGCTTCTCCTTTTCCCTGTTATAGAGAAGCATGCTGACACCCCCTGGCCCCCGTGACATGCCCCAACACACCTCTGACATGCTCCCCCCACCGCAAAAAATGAGATTGCCCAGAAACATGATGGCATGCCCCACCCAGCACCCCCTCCCCCCGACACAGCTCTGAAATGCCCCCTGGAAAAATGGGATCGCCCACAAACACAGTGAAACCCCCCCACCACACACACATAGCACACCCCCAATACACCGCTGATATTCCACCCCCCAAACAAAAACGAAATCATCCAGAAACATGCAGGCA